AATAAAGTGACAGTTGATACAACTCAGGTCGGTCCAGAGGACAGCTGGTGTTATCAAGGTGAAGGCTGCGGAATTTTAATGACCTCATTGGAGCAACTAGTTAGAGAATAATTGCATTTACCCTTGTCTATCATCATTTGCCTCACATTATACAATAACAAGACAGTTGATACAACTCAGGTCGGTCCAGAGGACAGCTGGTGTTATCAAGGTGAAGACTGCGGAATATTAATGACCTCATTGGAGCAACTAGTTAGAGAATAATTGCATTTACCCTTGTCTATCATCATTTGCCTCACATTATACAATAACAAGACAGTTGATACAACTCAGGTCAGTCCAGAGTGACAGCTGGTGTTATCAAGGCGAAGACTGCGGAATATTGATGACCTCATTGGAGCAACTAGTTAGAGAATAATTGCATTTACCCTTGTCAATCATCATTTGCCTCACATTATACAATAAAGAGACAGTTGATACAACTCAGGTCAGTCCAGAGTGACAGCTGGTGTTATCAAGGCGAAGACTGCGGAATATTGATGACCTCATTGGAGCAACTAGTTAGAGAATAATTGCATTTACCCTTGTCTATCATCATTTGCCTCACATTATGCAATAAAGTGACAGTTGATACAACTCAGGTCGGTCCAGAGGACAGCTGGTGTTATCAAGGTGAAGACTGCGGAATATTAATGACTGCTTATCCAAGTAATCTAATTTCACAGACTGGAGGTTGGTCAGTGTAAATAAATTGCAATAATGTTCTCTTACAGTTACTTAAAATATTATATACTCAGTCAAAACTTAATATCTAATTACAGATAACTACTTAAGGAATTTTCTGTCATCTCTGAACTAATGTGACTCTTAGCCTACTTAACATTTTTAAGAACTTATTAGTAGTATTTTCACATTTTATTGTAGACGTAGAAAGTTATGTTTGACTTCGCCGTTACAACACCTAATTATCGATAAAAAACTTGCTTTTGAGGAAGACCTTTTTCAATGTAAAATTTTTATTCACATAATCGGTGATGATTCTCCTTAACGAATTATGAAAGATTTATTTTCTTTATGAATTAGCAGCTATACATGTAAATACCTCTGAGTAATACAGTGTTACACAAAAATATCACTGCAATGTTTGCCAATTATGGGATTTCATTTTTATTAACAGTACGATACTTTTAACCATGTTACCAGCAACAAATTACAGATTAAGAACAACTCAATCAAAGCCATGCAAACAATCACATCACAATTAACAGTTTAGGATTACGTTTTAAAAATTAAATAAATATTAGATAAGAAATGTATATGTAATATATTCCAAAGACAGGAGCGATGTCGCCGTTAAGCTCTTATCTCCATGACCAATAAAAGTGATTGAGCACTTCCCAATGCAGTATTTGTTCATCTCACATAGTACCGATTGTTATCACACATAAGATACCTAAAAATAAATTATATTTTATTGTAATTTCGTTCTTGAGCCCCCTTTCGTAAGAGTTCTAAAATATAGTCTATCATAGCATTGTTGAATGACCTTTTCTTTAATTATTACCTTAAGTTTATATTACATTAAGTTTCTATCTAGGTCACAGAGATAATACTGCTACAATTTCGTTAACAAAGTTGTAAATTTTAAGTATAAACAATAAAAATAACCTAAGCATGTCTTTAGAAAGTTACTTCATTACGGTTCAGTAATACTAAGGTAAACCGAATTCGGGTTTCTCCACCTAAATTCTTTGTTATTAAATATATTTTGTGATAAAACATATTACAACAACTCCAACATAAAGAAGTTAATTTTTAGCATGAATAATATGTTTTAATGGGCTTAAACGTCCCTTATACAAATATTCAAGACCGTTTATAATAAAAGTTTAAAATTGGTTTCTTTTTGTTAAACTATGTAGGTAAACACAAATTTTGAGATTATATTTGACATAAAAATACGTACATTGGTAAATTATCGCCTTTCCTTTCGGAAGGATAAACAACATTTTACAGAATCTACTTAAAATTCATTTAGCACACTAGAAAATTTAAATGTCACTAGCATAAAACAAACATAAAACCGGGTACAGTATATGCTTTTACGTAGGATTTTAAGTCTAATTGCACTATTTCAATGTCATTGTTAAGATATAACATTGAGATGTCATTAAACAAAAGTAAAACTATTCCTCCCAAAAACTCTCACTTGAAATTGACTAAAGAAGGAAAATTTGTTGAAAAGTAAAAACACACAATCACGTTCAAATTCAAATTCAAATTCAAATAGTTTATTGCCATTAAGTATACATGTCATACAATAGGCCAGGTCAATGGAGATAATATACAATTCAAAGTACAATGTACAGAGTCAAGTGTAAATAGATGAACATGCTATACTAATAAACTAATAATACTGGGTTTTTGTACAAAAGTATTTGAGATGTATTGATAATGATGATAATAATACTGTTTATAGTTAAGCAAACAAGTTGGGTAAGTGCCTATAACAAAATAATTAAGGCTAAAATTGGCAGTAAGATACAGCTTAAAACTAAATAACAATAATTTTTTAAATAAAGTTCACAGAAATAACATTATTATGAAAGACTATTATATCACAGTTCATGAAACCATTATTACATACTTTAGAAACAATACCCTACTTAACAATTAGAATTTTACAGAAAATCATCATGTTTGAAAGATAAAAATTCCTCGATAGAGTAGATAACCTTTCTGTTCAAAAAATCGGTCAATACATTTTTCAGTGACTTAATAGGCAAGTTGCGTACATTTTCAGGGAGGGCATTGAAAAGTTTAAGTTGTAAATATTTATAGCTGCGCTGTGTTGAGGCCAGTCTTAATGATGGTAACTCTAAATTATTCCTTAGTCTGGTGTAATGATTGTGAGTTAATGAGCGAGATGAGAATTGTTCAATATTTGTTTTTACAAAAATGATATTCTGCAAAATGTACACACTTGGTAAAGTAAGAATTTTGTATTCAGGAAAAAAGGTCTTACAACTAACTCTACTTTTTATGCCAGCTAGGATACGGATTGCTTTTTTCTGTTTTTTAAAAACGTTAACTGCCCCACTACTACTGCCCCACAAAATTACCCCATAAACTAAGTGACAATGAAAGAATGCATAATAAACATTAATTAACATACTTAAACTAACATGATTTTTCAACCTCCTGAGCAGAAACAAAGAGTTACTTAACCTTGCAACAACCATTTCAGTATGACTACGCCAAGATAACTTACAGTCTAATATGATTCCTAGCAGTTTAGCATTTGATACTTCAGATACAAGATTTGTCTGTGAAAAAATAATTGAAATTAAACGTTGTTAAAACAAATAATAAATATAAATATTTGCATACCAAACAAAGGTACCGAGTATTAAACATTTCCATGAAACAGTAGCTTTTGCACAAAGGATTAAGTTCTAGACAAACTCATGAAGAACTGCAGACAGACAATGATTGATAGTCTTTTCTGACCTCGCCAGGGTTAACACTCTTTTTATCTCAAAATATTTCATATATTTTCTAGTTTTCAAGCAACATATTCAAAGTACAATAAAAAAAAACCACTAGTGAATATGAAACCGATGATTTTCAGTTAATTTCTTTATTATTACTGTTAAAATAAGGTGAATTAGAGTATTTGTTATTAATTGTTTCTTATTTTGAAGCTGAATACTTGTGTAATAGTAAATAAATGGAGAACGAGTAGTTAAATTGGCATCAATAATATGAAATAACGATAGTTTAGTTTGTAATGAATTTAAGACTGTATGTTTTATAGATGATTCTTTTCTGGAAGCTCAAAAAATACGTCAAATAACACTTGTAATAATATATTTACACCTATACTATTTACTCACAAGGAGCTAAATACATATAAAATAGGTAAAAAATTGGAGTGTCCATCGAAATTGATCAGCACTTAGCATCTTGTACATGTATTAAGCGTCTTGTGAGTAAATAGTATGAGTGTAAAATATATTTATTAAACGTGTTATTTTACGTATTTTTGTGCTTTCGGGTAATTTAACAACACGTACGATGCTGATAAGGAAGTTATTTAGATTATTTTCTGATTTATACTGATTAAACAATGTGTTCAACCTTATAAGGATTTTTAAACATCTTTTATTTATTTTGTGTTATTTTATCAGTGACGTTTTATTCTGTTTCGATAACAGTCTTCTCATTTAATTGGCAAAACATTCTAGCCACTCAGGGCCAAGAAAGGAAATCTGAAGAATGCTTGGTATTCCATTGAAGATATTTAATTACAGCCAAAGAGGCTGCAATAGATAAAAGTCCTCGGAATGGATAAAGTAGTTTTCTGAGGTCTGAAATTTATTTCATACTTACTGAACGATACATGAAGAACATAAAAACAATAGAATAGCTGAGTTTATTTAGAATTTTTTTTCTTAACAAATCATTTCATATAACCTTCCATGAAAATATGAATTTGAAAACTCATTTGGCAATATTAAAAATTTGTGCATACCTACAAAAGGAAGACCTTATGTGAGATAAGAGTAGATTTGTTGGATCGGTACATGGATTGCCTAATCATTAAAAATAGCAGAAGAACATTATGAAATTAGACTAAATAAGTTTTTTTCTCCATAATATTTTCTTACAAAAATGTTTTCAAGAATTTTCCACGCAAATTTTATACAAAATATTTTGTGGCACGAAATGTTCGCATGCCTACGTAAAAAAAACTGTCTTCGACCTTAACCTAGAAATTTATTTACGTAATTAAACATTTCCCGAAACATCTCGAACCATAACCTAGCAAATATTTACCCGCCAAAACAAACGCGCAAATGTAGTTCTGAGATCTGTTGTCTAATTAGTTTTGATTCACGTCAACGACAACTGTTGAGACGGCTGTGAATTAAGCCTATTGTTATCGAGCTAGTATATAAATCTCATCAGGGCGTCTTCAAACTAGGATACCTCCTCTAGCGATGACAGCGACGCGCTGGATATGTGCGCTTTTAACGCTACTCGCGTTGGTAAGTAAAATTAATTTAAATAAATATAAGAGGTTGTGGTATCGACAAAGTAGACTAATGGTCCTAGTGTATCAGCTTGGTCACTTGCAATTATTGAATCATCTCTAATTTGTTACGTAACAAATACTTTGATTTTCTATAGTTTGCTATTCTGACACTGATGTGATTTTTTAAAACTAGATTTCCTCACTAGCTATCCAAAAATCATCGTCAATACCTACATTCCACAGAGCTTCTAGAAAATACCGTACTCTAGTTTGAATAAAGTTTTAAACATACACTGGGAAAAAAATTACTCATTGACAATACATATTATTTATATATCCAAACTAAAATATAATTGATAGCATTCATGTACAGTTATAGGACGGATTAATAGAAATATACTAAACCTTAATATTGCAGTCAGTGAGGACCATATATTATTTTCAATGTGATTATATTTTTAAACGATTTTTTTACTTTAGCCGGTTTTGTGTAGTGTGAACAGTAGAGAATAACATTTTGACTGGAAAAAGTGACTTGTATCGAAAATAAAACCATTAATCTAAATGGTTTAGTTGACTTCACGGGTTAGTGTGGTTTGGTTTTAAATCAGTGTTTGATGTTGGATATTTTATCAAATTGTTTTCTATACCGTTTATTTTACACACATATGACATTGCAACTAGAATGCAAATAATTTTTTAAAATTAACGAAACGGGTTTTAGTAAGCAAATAATTTTAAAACCACTTAGCTACAGTGTTCAATGGGTGAAAAGGTGAATTTTCACCCATCAAAATCAAAATTGTACGAAACAATAGATTTAGACAAACCCCTATTTAAGTGAATAATTTTACATTATCGTGACCCTGTAAGATTGATAGCTATTATCTTTAGCATTATTTTAGGTAAGAAATAAATAAATAATATTTTTTCAGGTTTATCACCCAACGCAAGGTCACCATCCTTTGGTAAGTACCATTTTGATTTTAAATAAAAGCATGTTTACAAATTCATTATTTCAAAGTAGGCTCTGTTGTATAATCACCAGCATTATATATAAACTGAGTATATAACATTTTGGTTGCACTCTCAAGAAGGTAAGTGAAAGCTACACAATTAAGACCCCCGCCCCAGCAAACCTGCAGATTAAGCGATTTTTTTTTCTTTAAATTATGGAATATAATAAGATTGTTGAGAACTTTTTCCATCATTAAACTTTACTCCTTCAGCATCCATTTTGGACAACTTAATTTGACTATCTAATCAAAATTTAAAGACAAAAAAGATTTAATCAAAGTCAAAATCTTACTGAATTATTGTTTCTAAAATAATATTTAACTTACAATTAATTTAATTTTATATAAAAGGAAGTATTTTTTTCAGTTTGCATGAGTCCCCACCGCTGAAATATTTTTTAACCTAGTATTAGTCATTTAATGTCCCACTAAACATTGTATTTCCCAAACATCTGGGCATCATCATTTTTAAGATTAGAATAATTATAACAATAGCATAAACAGAGGTTCTTTTAAAGACAGATTTCTAAAAATCTATTCATACATACAAATTTGAAATAATAGTCTTTTAGCTTCTAGGGACATCCGCTACTTCCCTATAGGGAAATTCGCTAAAAATAATTTTCAATATATTTACTTACAAAAAAGAGTTAGAATTAATATTACACTTTAAGTTTGATATATTATAAAATAAAAATTTTCGTTATGACGCATTATGCTGCAGTAAAAACAGACGTATTTTAAACACACGTTGAGGGTCTAAAGTAGCAACGGCTTTCAACCATTGGAAGTTTAAAATCCTTTTTAGTCCATTGGGAGTAAAAGTAAGCTGTATACTCAATTTTAAACTTCGATTATAATCAAACGATGTATCAATTAATTTAATTGATTGTTGTTATTGTCAATGGTTTAACACATTGGTGGTATACTGTCCACTTTCACAATCGTAATAGACGAAATTATGAATTACTTACGAAACAGCTGCCTATTTGCATTAGCAATATTGAAAACAAATGGAATTTGTTTTTGGTGGTTAAGTTATAATTGAGACCGATTTTTTTATAGTGATATAAAAGAAAATAGTTGAGTAAAACAATGATCTCTAATACAGTAGAGATACAACGCGTTGATGCGAAAAGTTTCAATCAACTTGTTAAAGCTTCCTGGAAGTAAATCCAATATTCTTTTTAATTTTGCCAGCGAGGGTTTTATTGAAAATCGTTTTACAGTGTTATAAACCAGGGAAAGTTAAGCCAACTGTTATTGTACTTATAGTAACAGCTTCCAGTTTTATTAAATTTGAAAGTTCACAGAACAAAGGTGATCGAGTTTCTCTTTTCAAAGGTGAATTTTTCATTGGTCTTTGTTTAAATATTTGTTCTAATTATCAAAGGATTTCATTTCGAATCTTTTTCCTAATTAATCCAGGAATTTGTGAAACTCGTATTTCTAACTAAAAGATATCTTGTTTGATTTATTTTTAAAATATGAACGTTCGGTATGAACTTAAAAATACTGATGCTTACTTGAGCACACTTAATTTTAAATGCATTAAAACAGTAGGATTCAATTTAGTGATTAATGCTCAATCAAGGAAATTGGTAACCATTTGATCCTATTCATATGTTAGTTGTAATTAAAAAAAGGAAAATTCATTTATAAACAAAAGTATAGTACGTCCTAGAATGTAAGTCAAGTCCGACCTAAATAAATTCCTAGTTAGAGTATAAATTACTTAAGACGGTTCTTTAAACAAAAAAAAGTTTAGGATAAATCAGAACTCGATCCTTAAAACAGGAAATATAAATTAGTAATAGTTATTCATTAACTGCAAGTGTTGACAATATTTAGTAAAATAACGTCACCATTACTTTCAAACCAAATGATAACCGTTGCATTAATATGAGAGCTTAAAGACAATATGGAAAGATGTTAGGTGACAGAAAAAAAAAAAATTAAGTGATAGGTCTTCTTTTAAAAGGGGGGTTCCAGTTAATTATTTAGTTTAATTCATTTCTAAAGGGTTTGATGTTTTGCTAATGTTTATTTCACTCGATATTTGACTTTACGATGACAAAGAATTCATTTTTCAAAACTTGGACCTTTCTTTCAACATGAAATCATAAAGGTCAACTAGAATTATTTATCTTTTTCATAGACTGGGTATTCCTAGAGCTACGTATATTATGTTTTAAAATTTACGTCTAAACACAAAACATTTGAATAAAATAGAAGGAAAGGTAATTGGTAGAGAATTCAAACTAACATTATGACAGGGTAGCTGAAACGTTATGGTAATCACATAATCAGAGTCGGTCGCCAGTTAGACCAGGAAATAGTCAGTAGCTTTGGATGATTTGCATCTCACTCCAGATTCTAATTTTTATAATTTTAAATAGTCCTTACTAGAAGAAGAAAAAACAGCAAATTCGATATATATGCACAGGCTATATTATACTTCGTTTTAAACTAATCCGACACAAAATTATCTACACTAAAATACTGAGAGTGCTCATAAACACGAAGAAACTGTTAGGACACCAACACTCAACCAAAAAGATATTGAATGGAATATATTATTTAAATCAGGCTAATGCTACATATTAAACTGATACACTTATGAAAGTATTATTACAGACACATTGTATTCTTGAGGCAGTTCTGTTAGGTTCGGGAATAATCCGAAGAAGGTTTCTTTTAAGAGGCAATCAATGTTTTCATTGATCACAGGAGCAGTAAGTTAATTTAAGGTTTTTTTATGTTATACTAGCAGAGTACCCGTCCTTCGTACGGGGTTGGAATATAAGTATAAAATGCTTATTGCAGTTATACTCAAGCTTTGCGTTTGTAATAAGGGAGGACACAGTTTGATAAAATTTGCTTTTTTAAATTTACAGTATTCTATAGTATTACACATCTACCATAGCCATAATGTTCTACCACTTCACATAAAAAATAGAGAAAAATAAATTATCAACAATTCGCAAAATATCACAAATTATTCATGAAATGAAAAACATAAACAATTAAACATAACTGTAAACAATCCTACTTTGACAGTTCTCATTGTGAATCAGTTTTTTGTTGCTGCTTAGGTCAAATTAGCTGTTTTCATAAATGCAAAAAAATATAGTGCTGCACCCTGTTGGTAAATCTTATAACTTTTTAATGCTTTTCCATATCATAGAACCAACTCTTTTAGTTGAAACAGCTGACTAAATTCTTTAATTCCCTTTAAATGTGAATACTCATAAGGTTAACATTGGGAATTACAAAGCCACTGGGGCGGAGCCCGAAAGGATTTTTGAGATAAGAATATGCCTATATGTTAATCGGGAATGTAAGGTATCATCATGCCAAATTTCAGCCCAATCCGTCCAGTGGTTTATGCGTGATTGAACTTCAAACAAACAAACAAACAAACACACAAACTTTCACATTTATAATATTAGTAAGATAAGATTATTTGCTAACCCGGTAGTTGACGTACCGGATCCGTGAATGAGGTTGGTATAGAAACGCCAACTGTACAATCAATCGAGCGGGAATGACCCATGAGCTTTCGGAAATGAGCTTTTACCGCTCTAGAGCAGGAATGACTTATTTTGTGTGATGTTCACTTGTGATCATTACCTTGCAGTAGTAGGAAAAAGTCAATTGTTTTATTGGTGTGCCTTATGTTTCAGTGGACCAAGCTGGATTCCGAGAGCACGAGGCAGTACGTGTCTAGGGTGAGGTCCCAGGGTCGACCCTTGGCACCCGACATGCCTCAACTACTCCAGAGGACTGCCGGGGAAGCGGAGGACGAGTATCGGAACAGAATAGATATAGTCAAACATCTCTACCCGTACCTTCCTTGGTACATGACTTACTACAACCCAGTCCAGGGAGTCTACAAGTTCGATCCTTCACCACCAGGGGTATGTAGATAGTAGGCAGGACGAAATAGTCAATAGAATATTTAGAACTGAAATTGATTGGTGATTTTGTGTATGGTTTATTTACGTTAGTTAAAAGTTTAGGTTTATTGGAAACAAACTAAATCAATAATGACGAATATATTTGTATTCATTTTATCATAATATAATAAAATTGTTATCTAGAATCATGCGTCAAATTTTGAGTGGTTACACAATTCGTAACCGAAGCTACGAGTTTTTTTTTTATATAAGTTCACCACACGGGCAAAATTGTCCTTTGTAACCCTCGCTGATATTCTGACCTCGGCATCGCCTCGATAGTAAAACTTCACCTCGGGTCAAAAAGAGTCACTTTAAGCCCTAGTGATATAATATACTTTTTTATAGCTTTCCTACTAATTAAGATCAGCTGTATCATTAGCTATGACAATTTACTAAAAGTCCAATTATCAAGAACAGCTGATCCAGTATCATACCATAAAAAAACTACCAGGTTCTATCCAACAACCTTTTGATAACTAGGCGAAAACTATAACTTCAAGCTACTATTAATATGCATATATTTTAATTTTTCTTATTTTCTTTTAATTTTTATCTTGATGCTTACAGAACACTCCCTTGCACCACAAGTACTACAGAAGGTACCAACACAAACAAGGACAGTCTGAGGCTGACTGGTACACAGCGCTCCTCGAGCAGTACGAGGGGGAAACCACGCGGGACTACGAGTACAGGATACACGTGCTGAAGCAGGTGTTCCCTCAGGCGGATTGGGCTCACGTAGACTACAGTCCGAGTCAGGAACAGTACGCGTGGCGGCACGAGGATGGGGAGGATACGAGTCGTGAGGATGATGAGGAAGAGGTGAGTGGAGCTGACAAATCCTGGTCTTCAGGAGAAGACAGCATTGTTGACCAAGTGAAAATACTGTCAAGTATATTGGCCAGTTCAAAGATGTTAATTTCCGTAGACCAACGGGCAGTCTATTTTGATTTCGTAGCCTACCTTCTAATTTTGGTAAAGGGAGGGTTATCTTCGTACTTAGTCTTTCAAGGGTGGTGTTAGAAAACAGATGATTGGGCTGAAACTGAGTCGTCAGCACAGTCGTCAGTGGTACAATAATATACTTTGTACCACGTTATCCTAGAACAGGAGCCTCTGCTTTGTCGAAGGTCGGTAAGCGAAATTCACAAGCACGTGTTTTCCCTTAAATGACAATTCTCAGTCTGGTCACTGAGTATAACTAACACTTAACGACAGACGTAATTTGTCTAACTATGAAAATAGTTATTTGACAACGTTTTTCTTGAAGGAAAAGATGTTTTTTTTTGTTATATTTCTGGGGTTAGTGTAAACAGTTTTAACTCTAGTATGCAGAAGAAAAGTACTGGGTTTTGTTTCGAGAATGTATTGATGAAATTCCTCCGCATTACAGACTAATCTATCGAAGATTTAGGTAACTTTTATCTCTTAAATGTTTTAAGTGTTGTATACAGCTTTGTTAATAACAATTATACTACAAAACTAGTTAAATGTAACCAAATTATTTAAAGTAATTATAGAAGTAAAAATAAGGTAATCAATAACATGATGCTATGCTTGTGTAAGTATATAAGGCCTGAATCGAAATCTGTTAACATAATTATAGAGTTATATATAATTTCGCATGTACATCTAACACACATTCTCCATCTAGGAACAATGGAGAGTTCGTCGCGGGGAGAGCATTATCGACATGTATGCAAGAGTAATGAAGAAGAAACAAGGAGAGAGTTTTGTAGACTATTTCAACCGTATCCTCTCTAGAGCACCCTTCGACAGCGACTTAACATATCTCGTACGACTCAAGGTACTCAAGAGTCGCCATCCTGAGTACCCCTGGAACTATCTAGAGTACGACGAGGCGAAGAGGCAGTGGGAACTCAAAGTACCTGAACATGTAAGTCAGCATTGAAAATACTTTGTGAGAACACATGCTGTTTATATAGTTTACTGGATGAAAATGTAAGCCTAATACAAAAACGCGTTCTTTTGTAACCATACGTAGGGAAGTAAACAATCTTTTAATCCTTATTTCTTTAGTAGCCGTAACATACTCGATTATCAAACAAATAGTAACCGGTTCGATCCTGAGAAAAGTCAGTAGTTTTTTAATGTTCGAAACTGGACCATTAGATGTTTCTGATCCTAGGTAATAACACAGCTGATCTTAGTCAGTAACAAAGCTACATAGATATTCTCACACCGTTCTACACTCATATTTTGGTTATAATACGCATATAGGCGGCGTTCCTATCTCAATGATTGATTGTAGATGTCTCCAAATGTTAATAAAACAATAAAACTAAATCAGATTTGCTTTTTCTTCCACAGTACATCTACTCTGGTCGACTGGAAGGAGAGGATGAGGATACTTACCTGCTACGAGCCTACCGTAGGATGGAAGGAGAGAGTGAGGAAGCTTACTGGATCAGACTATTGGCTAGGAGAGAACATGAGACTGAAGAAGAGTATCAGAGAAGGATCATGAAGTTGAGGTCTCTGTTCTCACAACTGGACTGGGCTCATGTCATGTGGAGCAACTCCTCCGGAATCATGGTGTACAAGGGCAAGAGTGTCTCTCAGGTAGAATTATTATACAACAAGAAATCAACTCAAACGTAATAATTTATAATTTCATTATGAAAAAAATTCTCCAACACATAGCATTGATAATAAATTAGTCATATGTTAAATTATATAAGTAACAATTTAAAGAAAAAAATATGGGCGAGTCAATGATAATTATTGTGAAAACAAGGAAGTTATGTCTTGGGTTCGCTTCCAGGAGCCGTAGCTTGAAGAGTATTAAAAGTCAAGCATACTGTACCTGCTCACCCCTTACTTTGTTAGGGTACTTTGTATAAATTCCACCACACAGGCAGAAAGCTAATGGATTTCTTTTTTGGGACTTTGTTTCAAAGTCCGTAGCACAGTCAACATGCTTTGGCAGAAGTGGCAGTCACTTATTAACCCCTAATTTATATTGGAGATTTATTTAACACATCGCTTGTCTGTATATTATTCTTTGTTTCTATTCGTGGCTACTTTTCTTTTATCCTAATCGTGATCTCTTCTAGGTGCCCAACATCACTTCTCTTCCCTTATCTTCGAAGTATTTGGACGATCTGGTTATTTTTTACCTGCTTACTGTGTACAAAGCCTCAGACTACACCTGTGGTCTGAAAAATTCTGTATAAGGGTATAAAAGCTATCACAATTGGTTTTATTTTAGTTCTTTTGAAATTTTCGTTTTTAATGTTAGTATTTCCATCAAACCCGATTAAATAAAGAAAAAAACTTATGTTCACAAAAACTGCTCAAACGAATTGATGGGAATGCAGTTATTATAGCCCTTTTAGCTGTAAACATAATGGTGCTACTTCCATTGCTCTAAAAATGAAGGTGCAAAAGTCATTAAAACTTTTTGGAGCTTCCAAATAAAATATCATAGGTACTCCCACCACCAACCCATGATAAGCATGTGTCAGATTGCTGATAACGTTTATTTTGTATTGCAGTGGTGGATAAAGCGAACAGAAGAGAGTTGGGAGGAATACTGGTACAGACTGTACCCTGTTGTGGAAGGGGAGTCTAGCGAGCAATACCTGATCAAGCTGTTGAGAAGATTCGAGGGAGAATCTGATGAATCTTATCTCCAGAGGATCACAATGATAAGGAAAATCTACATTTACGCTCCATGGGACCACATAACTTACGACGAATCGTCCAGTAGTTACACATTTGACCGCAGAGTCACCGTCAGTCGGTGCATCAGAAATATCGTCATCAACAGAAGAGAAGTATGTTTAGATTTATTTCAATTGAGACATTATTATCGTTAAACAGCAGCGAGATAGTATGTTTAATAACAAGAGTAGAAAGTGAGTCATTGCATATTTTAAACCATGTTTGAAGTGCGAGATTTATCAATGACATTAAAATGGTCGGAAACATGTATAGACCCACCTTTCACTCGTGTTTTGAACGTTACTTTTCCCTACACTACAATGACTAAATATTATTACAGTTAGGAACATTACAAAACTCCTAGATTTGTTTATGCCTTCAATTTAAATTTAATATTTAATTTAGCTGTACAGATAGGGTTGTTGTAAATTTAAAAAGTTGACAAAACAATAACAAATCTTTGTTTACATCGGCAAATCCAAAAAATATAGAAAATATTACTTTCACAAGGTAATCATTCTTTTATCGTCGTAAACATTGTAATGGTGGATTTTCGCAAGTTATAAACAAGTTGAAAACAGGTCATTCCTCACTATTGTAGGGAAATAGTATATTTCGTACCTAGGGCCGGAAATGAGGTGTAGCGAAAATGTTTTTTTTTTCGTTGGGACGCTAGAATGTCTCGCTAGACTCCCCTTCCACAACAGGGTACAGTCTGTACCAGTATTCCTCCCAACTCTCTTCTGTTCGCTTTATCCACCACTGCAATACAAAATAAACGTTATCAGCAATCTGACACATTTTTACCTGCAAAGCGGAGCCAGTAATGAGCCGGAGTCGTGGGTGTCAGATGTTTTTTCCTCCTGGTCCATCCGCCGATTTTGTCTATTGCAAAAACACAACATTGAATTGGGTGTTTCGTTGTTCAAGAAGCCTCTAACTTGTAAATATATCCTTATGAATTTGTTTCTTATTGACAATTTTCATACAGAGTTTATTTTATAACTGCGTTGGCAGATTTGAATCATGATTGAAAGAACGTAATCTTTTGTCAATTATGTGACGTATCAAAAAGTGCATGATGGCGTAAAATATAGTTCATCACAAGCATTGTAATCTTGCCTAAATGATTTTAACATACGAGTTTTACGAAAATAGTTTCCCTACGCTGTAGTGATATTATATACTGTACTATTTAATATAAAAACCACGACTAAATCATCCTAATAATTGTCTTTAAAAGTTGCAAACTAAACTTATATTTGATTGAGATATAAATATATTTACATGTCAATCAATAATACAATTTAAAATCCAACCCTAAAGTACGGTTTCATTTTTAATCTGAAATATGTTTGATCAGATTTTATCTGCTTGAAAAGAAACGGGGTTGAAAGTTAATTGAGCCGCATTTATAAAATTGGGTAAACCCCAGAGACGGGACTTTAATCGACGGCTATTTAATTCTTTAACGTTATCGTCGCATCATTATAAAACCAATCTCGGTTATAATTTATGTAAAAAATACCTCTCAAATATGTATTTCCAGTAAGATGATAGTTTCAGTTTTGGCAGTGCTTTCATAATTTTTATTTGAGTTTTGTAATAGATTTTAGTAGTAGATAATTAAATTAAAAATGAACAAGCGACAATAAAGTCTGAAGCTTAATTTCATCAGGATTATAAGTCTGTCATTGTCGCTTGGGACTGAAAATGCAAAGAATCAGCATTACCATAGAATTAATCAAGAGTTGCATTCTTCTTCTTGAATATAAATTTAAAATGTTAGTACATTACGTCCCTCAGACTTTAAAAGTTTATCAGTATAATATGGGGGTTTAAAAATACGTTATGTGATTCTTTTCGTCCTAATGTCCTTCATCTAACCTTTAATAAGTGTAAAAAAGGTTTCTTGAGATGAATGACATCTTTAATACATTTATTAGTAATATTACTTAACTAAATTATTACTTAACTTATACTTTTAAGCTGATCTTAGGGTATGCTGCTAAAATATCTAACGGGATTTTGCGCCAATATTATGAAATTCAAAGAATACTGTTTTATATTTTATGACAACACGTAGTATTTTTCTTTAAAGAAAATATATATTTTAGGAGATTTACTTTTATGGTGAACGTAGACTGTAAAATATTCGTCTTCCAGGATAATTGCATCGCCAAACTTATTATACTAGTCTTTTGGCTGCGTTGCAGAAAACTATATTCAAGGCAAGCTTGTAGCTACAATAAATAAATTTAATTGGATTGTAGCTAAAACCGAACAAAGATTTCTGCATCACATATAAAATACTGGCCAGCATTTTAATTGGTCGACGACGCGGCTAGCTCCCAAAGGCAAAGATTTAAAAGGATTATGCTGTGATAATTAGTATCATTCTCATCTGTTGCAGTGGTACATATGGTGGTTGAGAAGGTCCGGAGAGTCAGAAGAGGAATATTACAGACGAATCTACTCCAAGGCCTCCACAGAAACAAACTACGAATATTTCACCAGGATCTTGAGGCGATTCACCGGAGAGTCTGATGAAGACTACAAGAAGAGAGTGCTGAAACTCAGGACAGTGTTCGTTAACGCTCCTTGGAGTAGCGTCGAGTTCGACGAGAACCAAAAGGAGTTCGTATGCAGCAAGTCAGCTGTGACTGATGACATCAGGGAAATTTCTGTCAGCGGGAAAAAGGTACTTGTTACAATTGGACTGATCTTCGTCTTAGGTGTGAACTTGAACGGAAATCGCCGTCCTCCAAAAATCTTAATAATGATTTGAATGTGGGTGGGTTCCAAGCCTTACTGTCCTGTAAGCCTGTGTGTGTATTACTGTCTCGAACTATTGTTCGAATGGGACATGGTTAATCCTTGATTATCCACAACAATTTTGATTGTTTGGACAGATTCCCTGTAATTCTTTCTTTAACATGCCACTTGCGTCAATATTTAGGAAGATTCACGGTTTAGATTCAAGAAATATCCGTGTGGATCCAACCTTATCTATTCTTTTTTCGTTTTTGAAGGTCATAGTATTCAATAGGCAAATGAATCAATTATGTGACTATAGAGCTACAATGACTTAGTTCTAACAATTACATCGTTTATCATCCGAGACCAATATTGTATTATCGATAGATATGATATATTTCATGTATTGTGTACAGTCTAGGGTAAACAAATCAAGTACTAACCGAACACATGAATTATTTCTAAGATAAGTAAAACATTTATAAAATTATCTTCCAGATCAAGGTGACTGACTACTGGGAGAGAAGATCTGACGAGACGGAGGAGGCTTACTACAGGCGACTCTACTCTAAGGAACAAGGAGAGTCGGACTCCGACTATGTGAGGAGAGTTATCGCTCGCCAGGGAGGAGAAACGGATGCTGAATATCTCACGAGAATCACCAAACTGAGGATTGTGTTCAGGCAGTTCCCGTGGGATCAGGTGGAACTGGAGGAAACAGGAGAGTACAGACTGAAAACAGGAACTACTGTCAGTAGGGACGTGTCTACTGCAACTGTCGACGGCAAACAGGTAACTGACGTGTATATGCATAGCCTTCTCTAATACACGGCTGCGGCACGACAAAAGTGGCAACGCTGTAGCACCGTCCTACCGAAACAGCTGTTGTTCATAATGGAGCTTCTACGATTTGTTTAGATCTACACATTTCTTATTACTGTCATCGGCTGGTGCAACGTTGCCACACTTCTATTAGAAGAGGCTATAACATAGGTCATACTATACTAGATAGGGTGACTACTTAACATAGGATACTGGATAGCTGAGTGACTATATCGCTCTCCTAATAAACAGAACGCTCTGTGCAAAACAGAATCCAGATTTTCTTGATAACTGGGCATTACATAAATAACCTCGACTAAAATAAAACTGATTATCGACAAAGCTACACAAGGTATCTCACTTCTATACTTATTCTTTATATTAGGATTTTGTCCCTACTCTTTCATGGTTAGTCTTTGGACACAGTAGGTCATAGGAAATGTTAATCATCATTAATTTATCGTACGATCATTTCAACACAGCTAGGCACAGCGTGCGTATGTTTAGCTGAATATGAATACAGAATGAACAAGTGTTGAACGTAAGTAATCTATTTAAATTGCAGTTCATTGTATTCTAAACCTAATAACCCCGTAAAAAAAAATGAATAAGGAGTATTAATAAACTATTTCAATTAAGTAAATTAGCTAAATATGTTATAACTTACTAAAAAAAAACACGTTCAGTTTTAGACATTTGTATAAATAAATATAAATACTATTAAATACTCAAAATTTTTGAAAGGTGCTCTATAGCAATAAGAAGAGATCTTAATTTGGACTTTGCAGAGTAGAACTTTTATACAGTCTATCTTGATTACACTAAGACGGCATAAAGAGTACTTAACGAGTTAAATTATGTACTTTTGGAAATGAAAATCTAGAATATTCAAGCGCTGGGGAGACCAGGGTCTGATTAATTCAATGGCAATTGCAGATTATGTCTTCGCATTTTTAGTCCGTAACGCCAACGGGGGAGGCTTATCATCTTAATCAAATACTATTTCAGATTTTATTCCCGCTTCGTTAACTTTCGAGATTAAGGAACGCAGTAATTTTTCTCCAAAGTAACTAGACTTTTGTTCTTTTTTAATCTTCATTTATGATTTGTTTCAGAATTTAAATTTAACATACATTAACATAATTCTGTACAATTCAATCTATAAATTGAGATAATCCGTACATTGACTGACACTCTTCAATTGCATAATTAAGATGATATACAAAAATGTATGTAAACAGCTAGTGAATTAAAGGTTTAATACACCAAAAACCTCAGTAAAATTGATCATAAAAAATGTACCGGTTCATACGGCTTAAAAACATAAAGTAATAAAAAAATGTATTTAAAAAGATTAAAAGTAGTTATGTTTATCTTACAACAAAAATCAATCTTTATTTGAAAAATATATCAGATTGCATTAACCAAATAATAAGTAAAATTTTGATATCCTATTGAAAACGAAAAACTATAAAAATAATCAATACCGGCATTAAGTGATCTTTTTGTTAAGATGGCCAATCGAACGCAAATCCACATTATTAGAAAAGTTAATCTAGATCCACCGAACAATTTTTACACCGATATAAAGTCATATTCGATTATGTTAGCAATCAATTTAACAGCGAGTGGCCCACTTTGAACGCTAAAAGCACAAAATATAATAACCTTTGTCGGTTCACCTCACAAGCGATAGTCGCCAATTAGTTCTCTATTGTCCTCTAATTGACACACACTACGCTCATTATAGAGGTAACAACATCAAAAACCATTTTATCTGTGTAGAGGTTCGACGCATCTGTTGCTCCCCAGAGCTTTCATAATCACATAGAGGGTTTATTTAATCATAACATGAAAGATAAATCTTGATTAACTTTCCAGTTCGCATTTCTGTATTAGCAGATGGAAATTATCACTGTGTACATTGTGGAATTACAATATTAGCTATTTATTCATTTACAGGTTTCCATTGATTACTTTTTCAATATTTATTATGTTTTTGCGTTCTAATTGGTGTTGTTACGAGTTGTAATTCTACATCGATTGTGTATCATAAACATGCAGTTGTGAGCATTAGGTATTCCTATAAAAGTTGAAAATATTATTCGACAATTGTAGTTTTATTTTTGAGAAATTTAAAAAAGAGAAATTTAGATGAGCTGTACAATTTGAGAGCGGCAATAAATTTGTGCTCTTAATACACACAATATGTTTTTCTACAACCAAAGTTAAATTATCTACGCACATACATTAACTTATTAGTGGTATACAAAATTTCATCTAGGTTATATTAACTCTTGCTCAACCAATCACATTCATAGATGCATTAACGGTTGTAAGTGTTTTATAGAAACGCCAACGGAATAATACAGCGGAAATTAGCAATTTTGCGTATTGTTTACAGGTTTAGCAATGTGATCATTTTTATGCTGTGATAGGAAAAAAAAGGTGTCTTTCACTGATATGGAATACTGTATTATTAATACGCTACATGCAACTTTGTGAACAATAAGCCTTTTTTTAGATTTAACTCCACATAATGTATACCAAAATTTTCGTCTAGGTGTGTAGATTTGCAAACTGACCTTAGATTTATGAAAAAGTCACTTGGGCTCTGCCTTGGTGGCTTTTAAAGTTCCCATGTTATCCTCACGAAGAACATATTTGTTAACATTATGATCAGCTGGATAATTTAATTGCTGTTTTGTTAATATTTTAGTTGAAATTTAAGGAAACGTCTGCTGCAAAAAATATTTAACATATTTATAGACTTAATGGTATCAAAATATGTGTAAATCTATGAAAACACAATAGAAAATTAATAACCACTTATTGTAAATTGTATAATTTTACCCTGGCAAAACCGGGTTATGCTGCTAGTAAATATAATATTTACGAATGATTATGAGAAAAGTTTATTGATATAATTTACGTTATCGTCAATTTGTTACTCTTAGGCTAAACCTTTTGATAGCTAAATTAAAACTTATAACTTTTCATCTTTAGGAGGATTTAAGCACTAAATCTGAAACAAAGGAAAAAAGCAGTTCGACAGAATCAAAAACCAACACCGAGTCTTCTGCTTCTGGTGAATCTGAGACACCAACAACTGAGGTAAGCTTTAAGTCGGAGCCAAACTCAACCGATAACCTGATATACGAAATACTCCTGTGCTAACTGTTTAATTTCAAGATCTTTCACCATGTAAAATCAATCCTTAGACTATGGGTTTATTCACATTTTCATGGCAACCCAGTTGGTCCATGTTAATTTTTTGAAGTTTTCAAATTCGTTTTTTGTGCTTATTTTTTTGCCTATTTTAATTTATAAAGGGATTCTGCACATCTACAGGCAAATATCTTTCTAACAGTATGCGTAGATTTCCCCTGCGATGCACACGAGCTGAGAAAAAAGGTTTTAAAGAAACATGCTTGCCTATTAATATATAGAAAAAACTTGTTTTAAACTAATTGCCACTTGGTTTTCAAAAATGTTTCTTGATATTAAAAAAGATCTTAACCATTACATGTTATTGAAAGACTCCTACTTGTTACATGCAATTGAACTATATTGAGTTTGCTCACTGAAAGTAAAAATAATAAACGAATTCAAGCTCTCCAATGTTAAAGAGGCGAACAGCTTTGAACACCGAACTGCTGACTCCAGTGAACCAAAGAGTAATGTTATGTGTTACAAGCTTCTACTGTTGTTACTGAGAATGTTGTTACACTATAATCACTCTAATGCTGTGAATATAGAATGATTTGAGCATTCTGAAACGAATAAACACGGAAATTGGCCCCATTTGTTTAAACAATGTAAGATATTTTTATTTAAAAAATTAAAGTACGAATGACATTTAAATATATGCATCGTATATTTTTCTGAATTGAACAACTTATTTTATATCAGGAAGTGAACCAAGAAGATACAACTCAAGAGACTGAAACAACTTCTCGAGTTGAAAAAGTTGAATCATCTTCATCCTCAAACACTGAAGAGACTCAGGAAATAGTACAGTCTGAATCAGTGATCACTGACACGGAAATTACTAAAGGAGTTGAAGAGGTAAGTTTTAATTGACCCTGGTAAAAAAATGTGTTTATTGCTTTTTCATACTTTCAAATGATAATCTGTGACGTATCTTACTCTACACTATACTATGATAGCAGTTTGACGAAAGAATCAAAACATGAATTCCACGTTTAAACACACTCTATAAAAATTACAAAACCCTAAACGGTAGCAATAAAAAGCGATTGTATCAATTTTATTTACTGACTAAAGGACGAACATGTTTTTTGATTGAAATTAACTCACACGGATAATCGGTCTGTTTTGTTACGATTAAAAGGTTAGTTACGATTTAAGAACAGCTCTACAAGTCATCTCCTGCGATTGACGATGATAGTAAAATAGCTCTCCAGTAAAATCTGCCATGTAGTATGCTATTAATAAAAAAATATATATAAACAGTTTGATTTTAAATTAGAAAATGTTTGTTAATTTTACTTCTATGGTTTTGGATTTGGATTGATATAATTTAAGGTTTGTAGTAAGAGAAAAATAAAATCCAAATACATTTATATATATATATAAATTGAATTATACTTTTGAGCTTAAGTATATCTTGTATTATTGCTGCTTCGACTACAAGAGTCAAGCTTAATTCTTTATACTTTTGACATTTCAGGTAGTTAAAGAGGAATCTTCAGAGGCACAGACATCTTCAAATGATATTGAAGAAATTTCTTCCTCCACTGTTGTCGAAGAAAAATCTTCGTCTACTGTAGAAGAAGAGTCTTCTTCATCCGTTGTAAAAGAAAAATCTACTTTAAGTACTGTTGAAGAAATATCTTCAAACGCTGTAGAACAAGCATCTTCGTCGAGAAGCGTGGAAGAAACGTCTTCTAATGTTGTGGAAGAGAAAGCATCGACTGTTGAGGAAAAATCTTCAAACGTTGTAGAAGAGAAAGCTTCGACTGTTGAAGAAAAATCTTCAAACGTTGTGGAAGAGAAAGCTTCGAATGTTGAAGAAAAATCTTCAAACGTTGTGGAAGAGAAAGCTTCGACTGTTGAAGAAAAATCTTCAAACGTTGTGGAAGAGAAAGCTTCGACTGTTGAAGAAAAATCTTCAAACGTGGTGGAAGAGAAAACTTCGACTGTTAAAGAAAAATCTTCAAATGTCGTAGAAAAAGCATCCTCTTCGAACAATGTGGAAAATGTTAAAGAAACTGTAGTTTCCACCAATGAGAAAATTCAAAATGTAAGTAATATTTAGTACTATAAATCAAGAACAAAATTAAGTTCAATCCAAACCATAAAATAAATTGAATCTACCAAAAGTTTTATTCTAATTTATTGTAATAGTTATTTAATACTTAGGTTTATCCAACACGCTGCGATGTTTACTTGCGATAATAAAAATACGATATGCTATTATTACTAGAATATCCACATCCACATCCACATAATGGTGAAACCCCTATGAAAAACTACGGATATTAAGAAATATTAATTATAAACAGCATATACGTTCTTATGTTATATTTAGTAACTAACAAGACAAAATTCAACCCAAGCTTTGTTTTCAGACCCCAACGGTTGCAGAAACAATTACAGTGACTGAGGCACCAACTTATGTAAGTTAATTTCCGTTTTTTTTTTAGATTTATAATCATAAATTCACTAAAAATTACCTTAATCCCTTTTTTCATCAATTTGATTACATTAGATAAACTAATAATATTAGACTTGTACATAGTCTTTCCTAGACTTGTGTCATGCTCACTTTAAATAAAATTTCATTCCAATTTGATTCACTATTATGTTTTCGGAATTCTTATTGATTAAGTGTAAAATTATAAGAAAAAAAACATAAACAGTGGTAGTTGTGTTACAATAATCTTGGTTCAAATTTACTTTGGATGTTGAATTGTTACATTAACCACTCATCACTTAAATCCACTGAGCAATGATTATAATGGGCATTAATATATTTTTTTAACAAATTTAATAATCATTTTTATCAATGCCTAACTGACTGGTACAGGAGAGTAAAAAGGAATCTGCAGAAGAAAATACTTCTTCATCAAGTGTTGTTGAAGAGACCCAGGAAACCTTGGTATCCAGAGACGTCAGCACCGAACAAGTGAGTACTGAACCTTTAAATGAACTATACACAAAGCATAGAAAATGATTTATATAAAAATAAATTAGGCCATACTATAGTATATAAATGAAATCAGGCGCAATTATAGCTAAATGTTTATAACTAAGAATGCTAGAAATCTAGATATTATTGAAATTCTATTGTTAGTTAATGCTTAAAAAAATACTTATGTTGGATGGAAATTGTATAATGATTTTCCTGAGCAAAACAAAAACAAAGAGTATATAAAAAAAACACAATGAAAAAAATACTTATAGGCATTATCCTAGGAAATCCTAGGAGTAAAATCTTACAGAGAAACATTTCATTTCTATAAATTTCTCATAATATTAAGCTTTAGTTTTCGATTTGACGCCAATCTATGTATCTGATGTAGTTTAAAAATAAATTATTACAAAGTCAGATAAGCGGAAAAGTATAATAAAACAAAAACTAATAAAAACCATTGTAACAAAAGAAAACATCTACGCGCACACGCCTAACGCTTGGTGCTTATCTTCGGAAAACAGTCGGAGCTTCAAATGTACTAGTCTTGACACCCACTGGAATGTTCAGTTTGTTAAATTTAATACTGTCCTAAGGCTGTAATGTAAAAAAAGGAAAAACTAAATGTGATACAGATAAAATAATGCTAACACAGAAACAAAGGAATACATCCAACTATCGAGTGTATTCACCCAACGCCTGGCGCTTATCTGCCGAGTACAGTCGGGGAAAACAAATATGGTTGGCTTAACACCTTTTAGTGAGTTCAGGAAAAGCACCCGAAAATAGCAACGATGAAATGTGACTAATGAAACAGCTGGTCTTAGTCAGTAACAAAGCTACACAAGGCATCAAAATATATTCTAAGCTCGTCCTTAACACATATTTGGGTTAAAACCGCAACTAGGTGGGGTCCCCATCTCAAAGGAGTCTAAATATGATCTCAAATACTCGATCGCCAACAGTGAGTGTGAATAGGGCGCCACAGTGTGTGGACAATATGTAATGTTTAATTCTTCGGGATCGGGTACTCAAGATTCCATTTTACTATAATAAATTAAAACGTCAAATTTAAAGACTTAACCATTCAAGAATGGTATTGTCATTAGAAATAAAAAATCTCTTTAAACCTAAAGTCAGAGCTGTAAATCGGTTCTCGTGTCGAATTTGACCATGCTTTCTAATCTAGTATTGCTCGTAAAAAAGTTACAAACAGTGACTCAGTGGTAGATTTTTCAATACCACAGGATTGTACTACTAATTGTCAAACATTTACCGTCAGTTAAGATATCTTCAAGCATTATCATTTTGCACTCAAAGTTCTTTACTAGTAAACTATTAAGTAATAATGTAAGAAGACAAACAATAAATATATTGCCACTAACTTATCATTATTTTCCAGGCCACTGCCGCTGAAACTACCACTACTGTAGCACCAGCTGTTGTAAGTTCAAACATTTCTTTAAGCTATAAAGTTTGATATTCCAGTCAAGAATAGATGGCTGCTATGGTCAATTGTAAGCTTAGAGAGTAAAGAGTAAAGTCATTATTGTTAAATAATGGTTTATCGAAAAACCATGATGAACCAATGAACGCAATGAATGAATGGATGATGGTATAAGGTGTAATGAACGCGTTTTTAACTTATATTGCTTAAAATATGAAAAGTATACTTCCCATTGAAAATGAAAGGTAAAGAAATTATCCATTTGATATTGGTTTCAACACAGGGTGGACCATGCATTTTTGTGTACTCCTATTCCTTTATAATAGTTCTAAATCTCTCTATGCTTTGCAGGAAATTAAAGAGCAATCTTCAGATGTAAAGTCGTCTTCAAATGTTGTTGAAGAGAAGAAAGAGACTATAGTCTCTAGAGACACAAATGCAGAAAATGTAAGCATAATTTAATGAATCAATAGAAACGGAAACTTACTAGGTAGTAATCAATAATTTTCATGAATATAAATAATTGTTATTGATTTCTAAACGATTAAATATACAGCGGACGTTATCAATTCGTTACACATTGCATTCGTAATCATATCATTTTCGTTATGTAAAATATGCAGTTGGGAAAAAAGTTGTATTTATAGAATTACTCTTCATATAGTCTATGGTGTTTAATTATCTGTACTTATGTTTTTTTTTACTCAGAACATATAAGCATGTTTACTACTAAAGACGCTGTGCCATGTTTAGCAATGAGTGTAAGCAATGTGTTAACATTATCGAAAAACGCAACCGATATTTCTTTTCAAACAAAAGCTAAGAAGGGAAATGATAACAATTAAATTTAAAACTTAACAACGCACAGGGCCTTCCATTGTTTAAGAAAATGTATGATTGAACTATTAGATTTGTCTAAAACATCAAGTATAATAAAAACTGTGGCTAAGCTGCTTCAGTCTTATTAATCTAACAAAATACATACATACAAAATGAAGATGTAAAACAAGGTATTTAGTCTTTTGTGAGGTCAATCTCAATCACTTCTTCATCATCTTAAATGACTTTTGGAATAGGCTCCTGAGTAGAGAGTTAGAGTGGATTGAAATCCGAATTGGAGAGAAACTTATCTGTGTCTCGTTCAGCACTCTGTGCCTCTCCAGAATATGTCTTGCCAAATATTTTTACATCAGGCCTCGTTTGTGGGTCATTAATATGTTTGCTCTTTGTTTTCAATCAAGTCAGGATTATTAAGTCTTTCCATTACATTCCTAAAACACTTCAGGATCACTTTTGTTGTAAATGAATCCAATCCATAGGGAAGAATACCATTTAGCACACATTGGAGGTTTCGGTGCATTGCCCTGGGGTCTTCTCATCCACGTTCTTCTTTGGAAGGTAGATTTCCATAGTCAGCAATCAACAAATAATAATCCTATAACACATTCTTATAAAATGCTTAACTTTTTTGTTTATTGAAATATTCAATCCAATATTCCAAGTTCCTTTTATTTTCCCATTATCAACGCTTGGATTACCTTCTTCTGATGATACTTTATTTTTTGTTTTGGCTTCACGAACTGCTTTCCTCAATTTGATCTGTTTTTTAAATATTCTTTTCACTTGTTTAGGCAGATGCAAACCTTCGATGTTTTCAGTGCCAATTGCAATGCATCTAGTTAAAAGCGCTGCCCTGTCTCTTTCTAGCAACCTATAGCTGTTGTCTTCACTGGTTTCATACTTCGATATATATATTTTTTAATTCTTTGGCTTTCTCTTTAGGCTACTTTTGAGATGGTACATTGTTTTTGCCTTTGATTGAAAATCTGCCTCTTTTTCTACAATAAACCACACAACACTCTTAGATGTCGAATTTGAACATGAATGTCCGGCTTGAGACAATTTTTGAAGGTCAGAAGGGAGTGAACTGCACTCGTTTCTTGGTTACTTAGATTTTGATGATTGATACTGTCATCGATAAGTTCTGCAATAAAATCGTGTTCTTCCACATAATGTTATGTCGTGTATGGCATTATTACATTGGAGTTGCCTCACACTCAATGTCTTGACTGACGATGCCACCACCAGCCCTTTCAATAATTCAACTGTTTCTCGTGTTCGAGTTCAGAGTTCTACTTGGTCCACCCTCTATGAGAAGACGAAAATTATTGATCATTTTGTTGTTGATTTGATAATGATGATAATTAAATGTATAAACCAAACCACGGCACAGGACGAGATGAGAGCCTTCAGACTTAAGCTGAGCAGCAAAAAACATTATATGGCTCATTTTCATAATACACGTTATGTTTGTTACACTTATTTCTCTCTGCAGGTTTTTTTGGACTTACAGTGCTATGCTGTAATATGCTGTTAGGACTCATCTATTATCTATCGTTATGACTATGATTTACTGTTTTTTTGGAAACCAAATATTTTTTTACGTACGAGATATTTTTACAAAAGGTTATATAGTACTTGGTAATATGTTTATTGGCTTAATTTGCAAAAGATTATATCTGAAATAGATTAATTGTTGACTTTACAAACACAAAATCCAGAAAAGATAAGGCCATAAAATAAATACGTAATAATAAATAGATTAACTTAATTTAAATCAAGCGTTCCTTAGTTACTAACCTAATACCTAATTCAAGTTTAGGAATAAGATGTGGAAATAATACTGCTGGTATCAGCGCTGGTATATAAGCAAGTTAAACGTACATTTTATTTCCAGCTGAATGTCACAACTACAACGGAGGCGCCAGCTGTTGTAAGTATATTCTGAACATTTCAACGCTGTAGTGTGTGTGTGTTCAAAAACAATTTGCTTGATATTTAACAAGGAAAAACTCATAAACTACCGTTTGGTTTAAAAATACAAGATTTTTGTTTATAATGAAGAATCAATTTTTTTTTGTTTTACAGATATATATATATTTTCTTATCAATCCGTTATTCGAGGTTGAGTACAGTTTATAACTTTTAAAACACATACCTACATAATTTTCTTTAAACTTTTCAGGAAGTTAAAAACGAATCAACGGAAGAAAAAACATCATCATCTAGAACTGTTGAAGAAACTAAGGAAACTCTGGTATCTAAAGAAACTAACACTGAAAAGGTGGATGAAAATTTTCGTTCAGTCGTAAATAAAATAATATAGTTAAAAATCAAAATGAACTGATTTCACATCTGAATTGATTACTATTCAAATTCGTTTGAAAGTGATTAAAATATAATTTTAAGCAACTATAAAATCTACTCAAAGTGAATGAATGCCTTTATTTGTAAATAACCGAACTACATCCAAGTTTTATAAAATAATTTCACTTAGGGAATTTTTGTTTTAATAGTGTGTTTCATGTTATTAATTGAACCAACCATTTACATTTAGATGATTTATTCTTTTTTGCTCGTATCTACGCCAGTGGCATTTTTGTAACATTTTGTTGATGTAAAGTGGAAATTATTAAAACAGATATAGATCATAAATAATGTAAGTCAAAGCTGTTTGGATTACCTTCTTGGCAATAATTCTTGACTGACTTATAGATTGAAAATAAATAAAGACACTATTAAATTGTATAAAGGTTGTACTAAATAGTTTACTGATTACAGATTGAGGCAGTCACTGATACAACTACCACAACAGAGGCCCCAGCTATAGTAAGTATTGTTTTAATAAACGCTTGATAAAACTAATAAATAAAATTTGATATTATCTCAGTTTTTTTTTATTTTTTTATATATTAAATCGACAGTATTAATATAACAAGAAATCAACGTGTATTTAATACAGTTTTTATTCTTCGTTTGAAGTTCATTGTTGGTGATGGTGAGTTAATGTTGTTCAAAGGTTTATTGTGGACATTTTCCATCACGATTAAAGTACAATCGTGATGGAAAATGTCTGCAATGAACCTTTGAACAAAGTTTTTATTATTTCATGTCTCAATGAAAAATCTCATAAAACTGGTTTGTAAACACAATTAATTATAAAAGACAATTACGTAATAAAGTGAAAATAACTTTTTTGCAAACATAAGACGTATTGTAAATATTAATTGTTACTAGAGGATTTAAAACAAAAATTTAAAAATGGAATTCTTATTATAGTAGTTTATTTTAGTTCTTACTCTGTTTGAAATTATTTTTATAATATCTTAAGATTTGTGTCCATACACTTACATATGCAATGCAAATACCAAAAGTAAATAAATACTTTTAACCGTTTTTCATCAATTATTTTTCCGTGTTAAATGTTTGTCATAGTCAAAATCAAAATGATTTATTTACTAAATTATTGGAAGTGATGGCGACAGTAAGTCATTATAATAACAAATACTTTGTTGTGAACATATTTTCATCCCGAATCGTTATATCACATTAAATTAATTATTTTGTTTAGGTAAGCGAAGTAATTGAGAAAACCTCTTCTGAAAAAAAGGAATCACAGTCTTCTTCGAGCCACCAATCGGAAGTACGTTGAACAACTGACATTCCACCTAAAAACTTAACATGTGTGAATTAACATCAAGGTTTAGTTAACTTTACCAAACAAACAGAAAACAAAAAAGTTTTAAGTAACAGATCATGTAGTAGTTGATTGAAAGTAGCATTTGTCATTGGTAAGGGATATGAAAGTGATATTAACACATAAGGCTCCTAGCTGGTTATTTTAACAATAGCTATAAATTTTAAGTACTTAAATTGAATATACAGAAATAAATGAAAGTAAAATATCTTGGTTATTTGAAACAGGAAACTAAAATAAAGCAGGAAGTTTCTCAGCCCTCAAAAACTCTCAAGGAGAAGGAGCAGGAAGAAGATGTTGTCATTCACATGAAGGAGGTCAGGTTACTTTGAAATTACTTGAGCACTTTATAGTTTCCTTAAATTTTAGTTCTCCAACAGCTTTTGCCCTTAAACTTATTTTTTGTACAAATGATCATTGAATTTGATATTTTAGATCGAAATTGAGTTAGACTAATTTACAATATCATATAAACTCTTTCCTTTTGTACTTAATTTAAAAGCCTAATAGCTTGACTTTCGGTCATAGTGTAATAAACAAGTGATACAAAAATTGCTTTACTACTTAAAATCTAGCTAAGTTAATAACTATGATGAATAAATTGGATGGCATATCGTAAAAGAAACTGTTTATTATAAAAAAAATATTTGTTATATTAAATAAAATACTATTAATTTAATTGCAATTGTGTATTGCATATTTAAAAATTATCTTTGTATTACAGTATAAAAGGAAGTAACAACATACAGATACAAATATATTTTCAATAACGTTTATATAATAGGATTCAGTTTTACAATTAAGATTGTTGAGTGTCTTTAGTTGCTTTTTTTCCAAAGTATTTTTGTAAATTCAAACGATTTTCTGTCAACAACTGAGTACGTACCTCAATAGCACGAAGCCCGTAAAACAAATGTTTTAATTTCCTTTCATAGTACATTCAATAAATAAAAACTATAAAATTATTTCCACATGTATGTTTTGCAAAATTCCTCATTAGTAAAAAAAGACTTTTAAAAGTATAAAAAAATATGCTTCCACAGAAAACATGAGTTAACATTGATGATAATTTTAAATAATTTGAATTTGAATTTAATTTTAATTCTGAAATAAATTATCGAACGTACTGTTGAATTTTACATAAGCGATGTTTTTTCATTGCAGTCAGTGGTGTCAGCCAACAAACCATCGAGGATAAAGAAACCACTTCCAAAAATTAAGCCAATGAAAGAAGATACAGTAAGTACTATGCTAATGTAGTTACCATGTTATGTATCTATCTATATATTATTAGGCAAGCATGTTTCTTTAAAACCTTTTTTTCTCAGCTCGTGTGCATCGCAGGGAAAATCTACGCATAATGTTAGAAAGATATTTTCCCATATATGTGCAGAATCCCTTTAAAAATTAGAAGAGGCTCAAAAACAAGCACACAATATTAATTTGAAATCCTAAATAAATTAACATGGACTTTATGGGTTGCTATGCTGGTGACGAAATAACAACGAAATATAAACAGAAAATCAAAACAAATGTAAGAAATTCCAATCACATGTTTTATTTACACTGTGGGGTAAAAAATATAGAAGTCTGTACAGTGTAATTGAATTTTTTAGCTAGAAGCGGTTAAAGTGTGGTTGAGGTGGAATATCTTGCATTTGTTTTGATTTTTAGTTTATATTTCGTGAGATCAAGTGTTCATACGTGTCAAACTATGAGGTTAAATCAAAACAAACAAACTGGCATAATGTATTCTTTTAATTGACAATATAGTATAAATATGCTTACTCTACTTTAAAAAAACTCACTTGGTCATTAGAGAATATTTGTGGAATATTTAATGAAATAGACAAGTTATTTTTGATTACAAATTGACTAATGATTCAAATGTTATTTAATTATTGCCTCCAAATTATAAGTGATGGTTGCTTTGAAAATAATTAATTTAACATGAGCAAATATTAAAAAATATTGAATCTTCTTGAAAAATGAATGTCGATCATTATATTGATAGAATAATGTAGTTCCTATGACTGGGATACACATGAGAAACTGTTGGGACATAATGATGATATACGTTTCGTTTGGAAATATCTTACGACCCAGACCTACCTTTTAAGGGTCAGAATTATATACCCACGAGATATCGAGATAACCCTTTATAGACTAACGTTTTGAGTTTTGACCCATTTTTAACAGTCCCAACAATTGTGTCACTGTGAAAATAGAGAAGTCAGTACATTACATATTTCTAGTCGAGTTTTCGACCACTGGACGACCTCTAGTTGTATATTAATTCACGAATAATATGGATGAATGTTACAGCAAAAGTAGTTAGTATATTTTCCTTTGTGAGTAACTAATTTCCAGCAAGAATATCAAAGGTTCATTGATATTGAAGGAGCTCATTAGTTTAATTCATATCTAAGCTATCTTCACTGCAAAGGCAAATTATCTTTGTTCTGGCAGACTGAAGAAAAGAGATTAATATCTAATAGTCGTTATTTTATTTTACTTCAAAATCTTATAAGAAATTTAACGAAGAAAAAGTATTTTTCGTTTGCTGTAATTAGCATAAACAAATAATTAAATAATTTACATAATTTAAATCTTAAATCAATTTCATTTTCTCAATAACTTGTTTACTCCAATAAATAGAATGAAGGGTTATTTATAATAAAACGCCTTAACTCAATCCCAATGACTAATCAAGAACGTAACATAAATTAAAAATCAATTCCACTATTTGAATCGATTATTACTATTCTATCTTTCTTCCATGTTACTTAATCTTACTATAACATTACATCAAATAAAGAAGTCGTAAATTAAAAAAAGAGGCATAATCTGAAGAATTTTAGAACACTTTTTATCCTAATTACCAATCATCCATAGTACAATATGTAATAATTGTTTACCTCTCTCAATTAAGGTCACAAAGGAAACTTCATCTGAGACAACCTCCCAATCATCTTCGTCTGTTGAGAACACTGAGGTAAGAAATATTTAGATAAAATTAACAGTAGAGGTTAAAGTAATTTTTTAAACATCGCCACATGTTATGGAATATCATTTCTTGTAATGAATATATTTTTATCTAAGTCTGTTGATCAGTCGGCAGTCCAAAGTGTGGATTAATAATGATGCCAACCTGGGTAATTTAAATATCTACATTTTATATGAATAAAATGTAATGTAGTACTATACATAAAACATACGCAGTTTATGGTAGTTCTCTTCTACTATAACGTGGGTTGGGACTCAAATTTTTCATATGGTTTAGGTAATTCTTTAATAAAACTCTGGTGACCTTTTTAAAAGTCCATCATTCATGACAATAGAAACTTTTTAGACTGACAGTAAATAAACTTTTAATGACTCAGGTATATTTAGAACTTTTCTGAAGTCCCATGAGAAATTTATAATTGGTCGGTCATAACACTTTTAATTAGGCCTATATAACTGCTGTTATTATTTAGTAAAGTAATTAAACAATGAGCAAGAGGCTATAATCAGGGCTATGGTAAGAAATTGTCTCCATCATATGAATTACCATTAATTTGTACAGCATTCTTATTAGGCATTATTTGTTCTAAGTTACACATTAAAATTTTGTTTTCCATCATGACATGAGAAAATATAATTATTATTTTCAGATTATTTAGATTAAAATTGATTAATTAATTAATTAATTTATTTATTTATTTATTTATTTATTAATGATTTATTGATTTATTTTGGACTCATAATTTCTATACGGGTAACGAAAGAAATACAATATTGTAATCTCATTAACATTGCATATCATATCAGAGTCTTAAAGATTTAACGTACATGTTAATTATCATGATACAAGACTAATGAGTATTGATTTTGAAACAGGAAAGTACAAAAAAGAAGGAGACTGCGTCGTCTGAAACGACATTAGTGGAAAAACCAACAACAATCGTAAGTTTAGTTCAAATAATTGCTCTTCACAAACAAGTATTTGATTTATATAAAAATGCATTTACCCTTACTATTTTGAAAAATCTTTTGAATATACAATTGAACTGGACATAAAGAAGATTTATTCTAAAAGCTATTAATATCACGAATTGTAAAATGAAATTTACTACCTGCCATAACAAAAGAAAGCAACGCGATTATTTCTTTAGCACCATTAATACGTTTTTAATCCAAGAATAGCAAGCAAAACCAAACATATGATTAAATTCAGAACTTCGTACTGAGATATGTCTTTTACAGGAGGAAGTTAAAGAAACTGCGACGTCCAAAACAGAAACTAAACTGGAGTCAGATTCTCAGACTAAGGTAAAGATAACGAATAGAATAAATAAGTGGATTAAATTTAAAAAAACATTTTGCAATAAGGTGAATTCTAAGAATTTTTATGGTTTGGATTTATTTTCTACTCAAAATACTCTAAAAATTATGGTACGCAAAAATAATTCTGAAAGATTGTGTACTGTAAAAAAAAACTAACAAATAAAAACTTGAGGTATCATTAGGGAAGTGAATTGAAATTTATCATTAATAGTATATTGAAAAAAATAATAATAAATATGACAGATGGCTTAGCAAACAGATTACAGTAACAGTATACTATTTTACTTCATACAAAAGTAAAATAGTTTGGAACGATGGAACAAGTAGCTTACATGTTATTTGAAAACATTTGAACGATAATGAAGTACATTCATACAAACTAATCTAATATGCAATGCTTTATGTTTTACTACAGTATCATGAAAAGATTTCAGGACTATTTTTTGTAATTCTTTTTTGTAAAAATGTTAAGCATATAATACCAGTTTCCTATTTGGAAATAAAAAAAGTAAACTATTTTCGTCCTCAGGAGACTAAAGAAGTAACAGTTGGTGAGACCCCCATAACAACGACAGTAGCACCAATCACTGAGGTACGTAGACAATAAATACTTGACTTGAAAAAAAAACATAAAAAAAACATAGTGAGCAGCATGATTACAAAATGTGTAAGCATATCCTTATGCGCAAAACACCATTAGTAAAGTTAAATTGTTTCAAAAATGAAATGGCTATTATTGACACTTTAAGGCCAAATAGTATGTTTTACTTCTCTGTGTTAATATTTGTTTTCGACTTTATTAAATAATTGATGATATTTTATGAATGGCCTTTTATGAATTTTTCTAAATTCAGGTCAAAACGGAATCGTCAACAACAGACTCACAGTCATCTTCAACTACAACGGAGTCTAAGGTTAGTTTAGTTGAAATAATTTAATAGAATTAACAATTAAATCTGATAACACGATATAATGAATAATACTGGAATAAAATGTTATTTTTCACCATAATGCAGCAAAAACACCCGTTTTCAAAGCATGCGTTGCAGATCTAAAGTAGCATTCATTTTTAGTCTCTACGGAGTAAAAATCAGCTGTTGTAAGCCGTTGTAAATTTCAATTGTTACAATCGTACCGATCGAAGTTATTTATCGATTGATTTATTAGGTAAGGTTTTAGCCTATTGTTGTAGAGTGAGGCCCTGGGGCCCTTTAAAGTTTCGTATTTCTCCATAAGATTAACATGGGAAACAAAAATTGTTATGAAACTCCAGCTGTTGTCAGAAATCAAAAGGGAGAAGAAGAGCATAGGTTAATTGTAAACAGTCAATAAGTTTGCTAATAAAACAGTTTGCTGCAAATATTTGCTGACTTGGTTGATGTTCGTTTTAAAATAACGCCTGTAATAACTTATTTAGCAATTGCTCGAATTCGAGCAACAGGGACACTAGTACTTATTTAATACGCAAGCAGGATTTTTGTGACAATAACTCCTCCGAAACTACTGAACGGATTTACATGTTTTTGGTGTCATTGGAAAGAGCGTAACAGGTAGTTGTGCAGGAAACTTTCTTTTTAGGTAAATAATTAAAGAGTGAGGCCCTGGGGCCCTTTAAAGTTTTGTATTTCTCCATAAGATTAACATGGGAAACAAACATTGTTTTGAAACCCCAGCTGTTGTCAGAAATTAAATATTAATAATTGGTCTCCATGGAAGCATGAGAAAATTCACAATGTTTACATTTGCTTTGACATTTAAATGTAAACAACCAGAACTGTCAAATGCCTATTTCACAATTTCAGACAGCTGATTCAAAAAAATAAAACAACTATGTGGTAGGCTTATTCAATCTTAAACTTTATGATTGATTATTTAGTATTAATCTATTCCAATGATTATGAAACAGATTTTCCCGTTGCAAAGCAAACATTAATAGTGAGAAGAATAACATATGTTAATTGAAACAGTCAATGTGTATATTATCTATGTTGTATTAAAAATGTGTATAGTTTTGGATGTTGGTTTGTTTTTTTTGCCTAACTCTGTCCTGTAGAGTTTAAAGTAGCCTACACATTATTGTCTACAAATTGGCTAAAAAACTTAGGTGCGGTACTTTATAAAAGCTGACAGCCTTTTTACGTTGACTTAAATTGTAAGCTTACCTTATCCCGTCCATGGGCAGTTTGATTGTTAAAAATTAACTTTTTAAACTGGAATAGGACTGTTATGTAAATTGTGAGTATTTCCATTAGTATCTTTTAGTTGACTCTTTTTAAATAATCGGAAATTATGACTGATATTAGTTTTTAAACAAGTTATTTGTTTATAAATAGTTCCTGTACATCTTTGCAATTGCTCGATTTCGAGCAACATGTACACTAGATTAATACTAAATAATCAATCATAAAGTTTAAGATTGAATAAGCCTACCACATAGTTGTTTTATTTTTTTGAATCAGCTGTCTGAAATTGTGAAATAGGCATTTGACAGTTCTGGTTGTTTACATTTAAATGTCAAAGCAAATGTAAACATTGTGAATTTTCTCATGCTTCCATGGAGACCAATTATTAATATTTAATCTCTGACAACAGCTGGGGTTTCAAAACAATGTTTGTTTCCCATGTTAATCTTATGGAGAAATACAAAACTTTAAAGGGCCCCAGGGCCTCACTCTTTAATTATTTACCTAAAAAGAAAGTTTCCTGCACAACTACCTGTTACGCTCTTTCCAATGACACCAAAAACATGTAAATCCGTTCAGTAGTTTCGGAGGAGTTATTGTCACAAAAATCCTGCGTGCGTATTAAATAAGTACTAGTGTCCCTGTTGCTCGAATTCGAGCAATTGCTAAATAAGTTATTACAGGCGTTATTTTAAAACGAACATCAACCAAGTCAGCAAATATTTGCAGCAAACTGTTTTATTAGCAAACTTATTGACTGTTTACAATTAACCTATGCTCTTCTTCTCCCTTTTGATTTCTGACAACAGCTGGAGTTTCATAACAATTTTTGTTTCCCATGTTAATCTTATGGAGAAATACGAAACTTTAAAGGGCCCCAGGGCCTCACTCTCTAATTATTTCCCTAAAAAGAAAGTTTCCTGCACAACTTCACGTTACGCTCTTTCCAATGACACCAAAAACATGTCAATCAGTTCAGTAGTTTCGGAGGAGTAATTGTCACAAAAATCCTGCTTGCGTATTAAATAAGTATAGATAGATTATTTGTAACATCAATCAGTGGGTACTAGCTAACAAAGGATTTTTTTATTTCTTTATATCCTACAATTATATATTTTTTAATAAGAAACAAGTTTAGTAACCTAAGTAGATTCAATCGTACTTTTTCAATAACAAATGAATTTGTTTTCAGGGAGAAAAGACAACTTCGTCTTCAGATACCAAAGAGGAAACAGCCGCAATTCTAAAGGTAATATTTCTGTATTTCATACCATGCACTGAATTGAAACTTTATTGGAAATGCTACTAAATCATATGTTTCTAAGCTATTGCCTGTTTTAAAACCTAGGTTCAAAATTGTTTGTAAATTACTCTCCAATACAAATTTCAGTAAAGTAGCTGCAAATAAGGTTATTTTGTTTTTATTTTAAGACTTGTTTCCTATATTCACACAAAATAACAAATTTTAACTTTTTTTACTAGAAATCGACAGAAGAATCTATCCCAGAATCTACAACCACCACTACCACAGCACCAGTCGCATATGTAAGTGATGAAAATGTATTTTATAATAAGTATAATAGTAAAATATAGGTCAGATTAAATAATGTATATTCTTCTAAACAGTTTCATGCGAAGTATACTGTTTTCCAAAATACGGTTAATAGTAGTGAAACTTAATTGTGTTATCGCATCGTAAAGTTACATAATATTTGTTTACAGTGTGATAAGTTTTTCGTTGTTACGTGGAATTTCAGCCTCCTTAATATGTTTTTCAGATAACAACTAAATTAAAATATTATAATATAAGTGTTATTTAATTTACATAGAGTGAATATGAAACTACGTCTGATAACACTTAAAACATATCTTTACACTTAAACTCTTAAATCACAAGACGGTAAATTAATATAAATAATAGTAAGTGATCATCTAATCTTAAACCATCTTCGCCTATCAGGTCACTTTATATGTTTCACTGTCTTATTAGTTAACAGTATTACAGTAAATATATATTTCGAGTGTTATAAGTCGTATATACGTTTTCTCTATGAAAATATTATTTTGCTTTCTTTGAGATTATTCATCCCTTTGGAGATTGCTATATTAGTCTTTTAGCCAAGGTTTTATAACATTACTCAATTATAACTCTAATAGGTATAATGGTATCATAAATGTATATATAAAAATAATAAATGGTTGAAATTTAATAATGTACTTCTGTTTGTTTTATTTTTAGGCTCATCATGCTTTAATAGAAACTGTCACCCAAACATCCAACTCAGCAGAAAAATCTAAGGTTAGAATCAATGAGTGTTACTACCATTGGGTGTGGTTATTCATTAAAAATATTATAATTGAGCAGATTCCAAAATGAAAATAGCTTATTGGTAAACACATGGCAAACAATCTATACGTCAAACTTCAATAGCACGAAACAAATTTGTTTACAATCAATATACATCTTATGGAAAGCATATGTTTATAATAAACTAGAAGCCCCAAATGCATGGCCGTAAGTAGGCGTATAAAATCCCAAACAATTAAACCTAAACATACAACAAAAACGTCTTGCTAAATAAGAAACTGCCACTATATATAGTCTATCTTAACAGTGTAAAAATATTAAACTGTGTATTGTGTAGTTTCTAAGATATCAAAAATATATATATTTATGTGACGTTTTATTTGCAAGAAAATAACATTGGTACTTTTCTTTCAAGGAGACCATTGTACTACCGGATACCACCACAACTCCAGCACCGGAAAAAGTAAGTTTTGAACAATTTTATGAACACATTTCAATGAATACATGCTACAGAACGAAATATAAGAGTGTTATTATTTTTATATAAATTAGTTTATGATAACACATATTCCCTCGACCTCTGATTACGTATGTGGTAATTCTTACAGCAGCAATTGTAAAGGTAATATTTCTGTATTTCACACCATGCACTGAATTGAAACTTTATTGGAAATACTACTAAATCTTATGTTTCTGAGCTATCACCTGTGTTAAAACCTAGACTAAAAAGTTTCTGTGAATTATTGTCCGATACAAATGTCAGTAAAGTAGCTGCAGATAAGGATATCTTATTGTTGTCATAAGAATAATTTCCTTTATATCAACATCAATTAAAACGATAAACATGTTTTAACTAGAAATCGACAGAAGAATCTATCCCAGAATCTACCACCACCACTACCACAACACCGGTCTCATATGTAAGTGATGCAAATGTATTTTATATGTTGAATAGTTAAATATAGGTCAGATTAGTTAGATTATTTGCTTCTAAACATTTTGACGGGAAAGATACTGTTTTAGAAAATGCAGTAAATAGTAGTAGTACGTAATTTTTTTATATTTCATCGCAACGTTAGTTAAATAATTTATTTTTACAGTGTGTGATGATGTGGAGTAGTATGAGTGTAAATGAAGATACCTGGGCCCTATATATCTTCCTCTAACCACTGCCAAATCACGCACATTTTCTGTCGTAACCCAACTCTATTGCAAGAATTAATCTAACTCGTCAAAGTGCACAATATTACCTTAGCTGCCTATCACAGCAAGCTTTTATGTTCATAATGTATCTAATTATAATATAATGAACAGAGAAATATATATATATATATGGACTTATTCTAATTCGTGAAAAAGGTTACTAGACTTAGCAAATGTGAATTCAAAATTAGTGATAATAATTGCCAGACCACGACCTTTCGAGAACCTAATAAATTACATAATTGAATTGCTATCTACCCTAACCTACACCCTTCCCCAACCCCTACTTCTATTAGCTAGACATCTTAGGCTACAGTTACTTATCCGATTAAGTTGTACAGCTCCGGGCACTCGACACACACTACTGGTCTCTTGGCTCGCTGCGCGTGCCTACCCGGGCCGACTGCGCGCGCATCCGCGTCACGTGACTTGCGCTATTGTAGCGACTCGCTACAAGTGTGATAGGTTTTTCTGTATTACACAGAATTTCGGCCTCCTTATTATGTTTTTCAATTCACAACAAAATTAAAATACTATAGTATACGTGTTATTTAATCACTTTATATGTTTCACTGTCTTATTAGTTAACAGTATTACAGTAAATATATATTTCGAGTGTTATAAGTCGTATATACGTTTTCTCTCTGAAAATATTATTTTGCTTCCTTTGAGATTATTCATCCCTTTGCAGATTGCTATATTAGTCTTTTAGCCAGGGTTTTATAACATTACTCAATTATAACTCTAATAGGTATAATGGTATCATAAATGTAGGTACTTTCCTGTTAAAGGGAACATTCATTATTATCGATGATCTTTTTTCGATATATCGATTTTTTCCCTTTACGATACATTACAAATTGACAGCTGATATTTAGGCTAAAATATATCCTATTATATGGAAAGAAATGAATCTGTTCTAAGCTAACCTAACATAACCAACCAAACTTGCTGTACCATTTAAAAATTCCGTTTGATAACAGAAAAGGCGAGTGGAGAATATTTAATGGAGTTTTTAAATGTTACAGCAAGTTTGGTTAGTTTTGTTAGGTTAGTTTAGAACAGTTTTATATCAATATTTTTTTAATTTTTGTTTGTCGATTCTGGACAATATTTATTTATCGTAGTTGTCAGCTGATATGTTTCAATTTGTTAATATCAATATATCGAGAAAAAATCATCGATAATAATGAATGTTCCCTTTAACAGGAAAGTACCTAAATGGTAGTATAAAAATAATAAATGGTTGAAATTTAATAATGTACTTCTGTTTGTTTTATTTTTAGGCTCATCATGCTTTAATAGAAACTGTCACCCAAACATCCAACTCAGCAGAAAAATCTAAGGTTAGAATCAATGAGTGTTACTACCATTGGGTGTGGTTATTCATTAAAAATATTATAATTGAGCAGATTCCAAAATGAAAATAGCTTATTGGTAAACACATGGCAAACAATCTATACGTCAAACTTCAATAGCACGAAACAAATTTGTTTACAATCAATATACATCTTATGGAAAGCAAACTAGAAGCCCCAAATGCATGGCCGTAAGGAGGCATATAAACTCCCAAACAATTAAACCTAAACATACAACAAAAACGTCTTGCTAAATAAGAAACTGCCACTATATATAGTCTATCTTAACAGTGTAAAAATATTAAACTGTGTATTGTGTAGTTTCTAAGATATCAAAAATATATATATTTATGTGACGTTTTATTTGCAAGAAAATAACATTAGTACTTTTCTTTCAAGGAGACCATTGTACTACCGGATACCACCACAACTCCAGCACCGGAAAAAGTAAGTTTTGAACAATTTTATGAACACATTTCAATGAATACATGCTACAGAACGAAATATAAGAGTGTTATTATTTTTATATAAATTAGTTTATGATAACACATATTCCCTCGACCTCTGATTACGTATGTGGTAATTCTTACATAATATCAATTTCTTAATATCAAACGTTTTGATTCTAGGAATCCACACCAGAATCCACTCTAGAGACTGCCTCCACTACCACTGCGGCACCTGTTACAAATGTAAGCAATTAATATGGAATATTTACGAAAAACATTGATAAATATTGTACACTTAATTGGAGAATAATTTTATAAATCCAATAAATTAAATAAATTAGTGCTTGAAACCCATTTATATCTTTTCGTAAAGTTATAATATTGAAACAATTCCATTAATTCTGTAATAGTGTAAAATTAAAGTGTTCTCACAAGCTTTGCGAAAAACATATTAAATAAAAAAACTATAAGTCTTCTTATAAATCTATGATGACAATAATGTTAAACTCTATGGATTGGGTTTTGTAAACCAAATTTAATTGCATGACATCACTAAAGCTATTTTATAAATTTATTGATGAAAATAACTACGCTTCTTATTTAGGTTCGATCAGAGTCTTCATCAGAAACTGTCGCTCAAACTTCAACTTCCACCGAAAAAACTAAGGTTAGAATAATTGGTTTATAATACTATCGAATCTTATTAACATTCGTTTCAAGTATTACAAGTTATTCCCTTCAAAAAGTGTGTGATGAGGTTTTTGTAAATAAACAAAACAAGCTTTTGTAACATACAGACCAAATATTTTGTGTTATATTTTGTGTGCAGAACAAGTGTTGTTACCAGTTGTTAAATATTTATAAATTAAAAATAAACTACTAAACTGTAACAGTAGTCTTTTTATGTTTTCATCTTATGATACACTGAAAAAAGAATCAATTGCTTAATTACGAGCCACGAAACGCTCACAATTGATCTATAGTAATACTCATGAAAAGAATACAATTAGGAAGGAATCATGAAAGTATTGCTAAAAAATATAAACTCTATTCGACAATAAATGCAGTTTAACACAATATATTGCATATTCACAATGAGTGTCATGGTTTTGTATTCACAATTAAAAACATATTTTTTTCTAGGAGACTGTTGTACAAGTATCACCGGAAAACACCACTGGTCCAGTGCCTGACAATGTTGTAAGTTTTAAACAATGTTATGAATACTTTTAACGAAATACAAGTTCACTAACAAGATAAAATCATGAATTACAAGTACTATTAATTTTGTAATTATTTTGTTCATAATAAATATTGACGCAATTTATAATTGCTTTACTGTGGCGATGGTTCAGAATATTTGGAAACACAATAGTAATTTTGATATCTTGACAAAAATATATAATTTGACTTTATAAGGTTTGACAGATTAATTATAGGTATAGAATTTATAGAGGAAAAAATTATAGTGGTTTTATTTTCAAAGTGTCTAGGCTAAAACAACTATAAAAAACTTATGTTGGTATTGATAAACTAGCTTATGAATGACTAGTAGAAAACGATTTTGAACGTACTAAAACAAGGATGTATAAAGACAAAAAAAGTCCGATAAGAAGTCGGTTTAATCCATTGATTACTTATTTTATTGTAATGTTGTCATATTGTTACGAATTTAGGTGAAAACGGATTCTTCAAAAACGGCCTCGGAATCATCCTCGACCACAGAAAAGTCAGAGGTTAGTACAATCCCCAGTAACAGTGAAAAGATGACTAAAAAAATAAGAAATAAAAGTAAAATCTAGAATAACAAATAAAAGTAAATCTTGGTAAAGCTGCCGGTCTTTTGAGTTTGGCGACAAAGAAATTTACCATGATGTCTCTGTGTGAGTGAAAAATGTGATTGATATAATCTCTCACTGTACATTTGAGTTAATAATACTTTAATGGACTGCAAAAATCTAAATTGGTTATATAATATGCTTACTGGTATATGCAACAAATTATAAATTTATGTAATTTGGAAGTTTAAAATACATACAGCAATTGTCTTGCTTTCTGTAGTTCTAAAGGGTTAACTAATATTGTTTTTTTTTCGTTCAAAGGAAACAACAAAAAAGAATGAAATTCCTGTTTCTGTCACAACAACCACTTCAAAACCTGAAACCGTTGTAAGTAAATAAGACTTACTTATAATTTCCTAGTTTTGGCTTTATCAGTCATAAAAACACAGGTTTCGAATGACAATTTCAAAGGTGACCTTTGTATTAAAAACGGTAAGATTATGAAGACACATGTACTAAACACAACAAAATATCTTAGAATGAATTGAACTGTAACAGTCAAACATTCTTCTTTGACAATTAATCCTTTTCTGAGTTTAATATAGTGTATAAAAACGCTACTTTATAAAATACAATATACACTAAATTATATTTTATAAACAGTATACCAACATGATTTATACATTTTCATAAGTATTTCTTTTACCGATGACATTTTAATTTAATTGCAGGAGAAGACAACATCAACAGACACAAAATCAGCCACAGAAATAAAGGTAATTCTATTGGGTTCCAAATTACGAATTGGTCTTTCACAATATTTATCAATTTAACTCAATAAGTACGTATATAAGTAATTATCTGTCTTCATGTGCTCTTTAAAACTCTTAGCATTAATAATTCATATAAATTCTTATCTCAAAGATATGAGGCCTAAGTAATTTTCTTAAATCTAAAATTGTATATGAATGTTCCAATTAAAAAACAGTTTTAATTTGCCTATTAATTACAACCTTTTACGTTCATTTAACAGACATCAGTAGAAGAATCCATTCCAGAGACTACCATTACTACTACTGCTTCGCCCGTTACAACTGTAAGCAATTAAATTGTTCTAAGGAATGACCTAGAAAAGTGTAGATATAAATAATGTGTACAATGATTCGTTAATTTGTTTATACAGGGTGAATAAAAAGTCAAGAACCCCCCCTCTAATATTTTTCAAAGTAAATATACAGAGATATCCTTTTGGTGGTCGAGAAATCTTAGCAGGAAGTTTCATTTTATCATTTTGAAATTTTTAAGTGTCCCCCCAAAAGGGGTATATTTACTTATTTATAGATATCCTTTTGGTGGTCGAGAAATCTTAGCAGGAAGTTTCATTTTATCATTTTGAAATTTTTAAGTGTCCCCCCAAAAGGGGGGATTTGGGGGGCAACTCAAATATTTTAAATGTAAACCCCCATTAAAATGGCAGCCAATATTAACAATTTTACCGTTGATTTTCCACAACATTTGACGGGCTACCATTTTGTATAGAGAAGAGACCTCTAGTTTTCACCATTTTTAAGTTTTCGTAAACACTTCAAAATGAGGTGTCACTTGAAGGGGGTTTACATTTAAAATATTTGAGTTGCCCCCCAAATCCCCCCTTTTGGGGGGACACTCAAAAATTTCAAAATGATCAAATGAAACTTCCTGCTAAGATAGCTCGACCACCAAAAGGATATCTCTGTATATTTACTTAGAAAAATATTAGACGGGGGGGTCTTGACTTTTTATTCACCCTGTATAATCTAAATGGAAGAACAAATCAGGTAGATATAGAAAACAACCAAGAGATGATAAAATTGTTTATTATCTTTTAAAAACAATTAACATTGTTTACTGAAACCTGTATATTTTATTACATAAAGAAAATTTGATAGACTTTGTTTCTATACAGATGAAATGTGTTCGTATAAGCCCTGACAAAAACCAGACAGATAATATAATGCGCCATTTCATTAATCAAACAATTAATTTCGAATTTCAGTAACTTTAGTAATTAACTAAATTAAAACTTTAAAAGTATCTAACTAAATTAGTTTGAGAACTCAACAAAAACTAACTATGCCTAATAAACTTGAACTATGTAAAAATTGTATACGTATGACTTTTAGGTTCAATCAGAGTCTTCAACAGAATCTGTAGCTCAAACTACATCTTCCACCGAAGACAGCAAGGTTAGAGTCATTAAGATATACTCATAGTTACTGTAGAATAGGCCAATGTGAAATACTCGGTTTCATTTCTATATTTTTTTTAGCTTTCACAAGCCATGTTAAGTATTTTTATTTTATTCATCAAGTACGTTTAAATACTATTCCTATATACCTATACTATATACTAAATATTATTAAAAATAATAAGTGTTAATGAATCAAAATGTTGCTTTTGAACACTATAGAAGTAAAAATATGCGTTTTTGGAATGACAAAGAAATGTTGAGTATTCTATGAAACAATAATGTTTACCACGAATGTAAAATACATAAAAAAATAATGATGATGGTTAATATAATAAGACCATTAATGGCATCACAGCTGTACTCAAAAAGTATTACAGAAGTATTTCTGAGAAAAAGGTGCACGAATGAAACTGAATCGTGAATTTTGTTTAGTTTTAATGGTAAATTAAAAATAAATTGTTATGTTGTTGTCTGTGCATTAAAAAGATTGAAATCTTTTCGTTTAAGGAGTCCGTTGTTGAAGTAGTCCTGGAAGCTACCACTTCTTCCATACCAGAAAATGTAAGTCCTAGAATACTAAATAGACTATATATTGTTGTAAAATTGTATTGATGCATTTGTTATAACCAAGCCTAGATGTTCTAGGGCGGTCTCTGGTTCGATTCCAAGCGAGATCGTAACTTTACCCAAATTCCGTTTGCTATTGGGATATTAATTAATTATGCTACTAAACAAAAAAGGGTAAGGTTAAATATTATCATGGAGTAGTGAATTTATAATTTGCATTCAATCTATGAGAAGGTAAAGTCAGTCCCTTTTAAGATATTTTCAATTTTTATCACACTACAGAAATTAATTGAATATTTTGTTAACATCGATTAAAATCAAAATTAATTTAATATTTGTTTTTAAATAAATGTATCTAAAGTTATACGTTGACAGTTAGGCATTGTCTTGCAGACTCACATTTTTCACAGTCTCAAGGACAGTAAGGTCCAAATCGAAACCTTAAAAAAGGCTACAGACTTAACTTTGGACTTAATAAGGCCCCAAAGAATAGAAAGATGGATAAGGTTTGTCTTGAAGTTGAGGGAGGAAAAACTATTTACGACCCTTCCTTAGTATCCGAAGTATTTAATACGTTCTTTTCAGATGTAACAAAACATTCCGATTACAGAGCTACAAGCAACACCACTTCTAGACAAAACATTAAACATAACTCATTTTTCCTATTCCCAACAATAGAACCAGAAATAAAACAAATAATTAATCAATTAAAGAATAAGATAAGCTCAGGAGCTGATGAAATACCCCCAATGATACTAAGAGAAATTTCAGATTTCATTGTGAGTCCACTAACAAATAAAATCTTGTAAATCACTCATTTCTTCATGGACGATTCCCCAACGCGCTAAAACTTGCTGTTATAAGGCCAATCCACAAAAGGGGAGAGCACACGAAATGTGACAATTATAGGCCCATATCTATGCTCTCAAGTTTATCTAAGATATATGAAAAGGCTGTTTTGGAGAGGCTTTGGGCTTTTGCCAAAAAGAACAATATAATTTTTAAAGATCAGCATGGATTTGTCAAAAGTAAAAGTACCACGAGTGCAATATTTTCTTTACTGAACCAAGTAGTGCAGGGCCTAGACACAAAGAAACACGCAATGGGTATTTTCTTCGATTTGAGTAAGGCTTTCGACATGGTCGACCATGACCTCTTACTAGCCAAATTGAATGATATGGGAGTCCGAGGAGTTGCTTCTGAGTGGTTTTCGTCATTTAAAAAAGGCAGGAAACAATGTGTTGAAATACAATCCATAGATCACACCGGTTATCAAAGCAGATTTAAGTCTTCAGAAACCCCTGTAACGAGAGGTGTGCCCCAGGGATCCGTTCTTGGCCCTGTGCTATTCCTGCTCTTCATAAATGACCTCCCCAAATGTGTAGCTCAAGGTAAACTGTGCCTTTTTGCAGATGATACCTCCCTGACACTATCCAGTCCTTCCCTAGAGTCACTCGAGCAAATGGCATTCCTCGAGGCGAATACCTTGCTTCAGTGGTTTGATAATAACCTTCTAAAAACTAACACTGCGAAGACCCAGCTAATCAACTTTCGAATCTCAAACAGGTCCAACGAAGATCCGAATCTGTCTCTTCTTCTCGATGAAACCATTATACATCCCGTACAGTCTGTAAAATTCTTAGGCATTCATTTAGATGAATGTTTAAATTTTAAAACTCATGTTGATTACGTAATAAAACGTGCAAGCACAGGCATCTTTGTACTTCGAACATTGGCCACAACAGCCTCGACGGAAGTTCTTCTTTCTGTGTACTATGGCTTAATATTCCCTTATCTAGTTTATGCTCTACCTGTTCGGGGATCTGAAAACAAACGAACCTCCTTCCTTTTTAAAATGCAAAAAAAGCCATTCGTGTCATATTTTCACTTTTCAAAAGACGATCTTGTAAGGAATCATTTAGGTCAGCTGCTATTTTGACTCTTCCCTCACTATACATCCTTGAAACCCTTTCCTTTGTAAAAAAATACCAGTCAATATTTAACACCAGCACTAACTGCAGTACATACTCCTTACGCACATCTCACAACCTGAAAATCCCTGTCCATTCAACCTCATTTTTTAAAAAACATCTTTTGTATAATGGCATTAAACTGTTTAACCAACTTCCCCAACAGCTGAAGCTAGAGACTGATTTACTTAAATTCAGAAAACAACTGAAAAGCATATTAGTTGAAAAGGCGTGCTACAGCGTCCGCGATTTCTCAGCTTACATGTAGTCAGTCATTCCTGTTAGACTAAAGATTAAACAAGAATCAAATTGTTAGTCTTTGTACATATTATTTAGCCTACCTTGATAAGAATTTTTCAGTTTTTACTATTGTTTATTTTTATGACTTTTCCAATACAATGTGTTTTTTGTTATTTTGGAATAAAGAACTTATGACTTATGACTTATCTTCATTAATTCCAAGTACAATTTATACGAAACTCTAATTTCATTCCAGGCTGCCAGGTCCGTTGAAACTGTGGTCGCTCCGGGTCCCGAGACTCCATCCACGACTGTAAGTTAAAATAAATATAATTTTGACTACTTTGAATTACATCGTCCAAACTTTTTCCTGTTCTTCACTTACATTAAGAAGGAAATGTGGATTTCACAGTTCATAATTTAGACAACTCAAAGATATTTAAAATGTATTCATAACTGACATATTATTGCAGATATCACTTCTTAATAAGTATTCCAATAATACTAGTACCAAGGTAATTTACAGCGTAAAGAAAAAATGTTGCAAAAGGTTCTAACGTTAGTTAATGAATGTTTTAGTTTTGGACGGTTTCCAATTACAATACTTAATGAATCATATTTTTTAAATATTTTTTTTAATTTTTTTGCTATTGGAGGTCTTTATGTAAACATACTTTATTTCAAACTAAAAATAAGTAAATAAAAGTTATTATACCAATACGGTACTTTCCTGTTAAAGGGAACATTCATTATTATCGATGTTTTTTTCTCGATATATCGATATTAAAAATTTGAAACATATAAGCTGACAACTACGATAAATAAATATTGTTCAGAATCGTCAATCAAAAATTTAAAACAATATTGAAATAAAACTGTTCTAAACTAACCTAACAAAACTAACCAAACTTGCTGTAACATTTCAAAACTCCATTTAATATTCTCCACTCGCCTTTTCTGTTATCAAACGGAATTTTTAAATGGTACAGCAAGTTTGGTTGGTTATGTTAGGTTAGCTTAGAACAGATTCATTTCTTTCCATATAATAGACTATATTTTAGCCTGAATATCAGCTGTCAATTTGTAATGTATCGTAAAGGGAAAAAATCGATATATCGAGAAAAATCATCGATAATAATGAATGTTCCCTTTAACAGGAAAGTACCTAAAATACTACTGAACAGCTACTTTTGATGTATGGAACGGTTCATACTGTATTAATATTGAACTTCTGTAAAAAGTAAGCTGATTAACAATCAAACAGTAACTCTTAAAAAACCTTAAAAAAACACAGCAATTTAAGTAATTTTTTGACTTAAACATGTAATCTTAGACTTATCAAATTAGCGTTTTATTTGTCATTACTTACACGTATGGAGAAATATTGTAATACACTTATTGGTTTAGGAAAGTGAAGTGAAGAAGGAAAAGAAGAACAAATTTACGTTGAAAGCAACATCGGTGGTGAGTTTAAATATCACATATTTGCCTGATTAAGCTTAGCTACTCCCTGTTTCATGGATTCACTATAAAAATGTATTTACATTGCCTTAAACTCAATGTTAACAATTAGTATCTGGAGTGTAGTCATTTACTAATTTAAAATGCTAAAAAAATATTTTGCACGTTGAAGTTCTATAAAATAAAACATTCGAAGAGTTTTATTACTTTTTCGTAGTGATTAAACATTTAATTTCTTTTTATAAACACTTGATTCACTATTTAAGTGGACTAGAATCTATAGCTTCTATAACTTCTCTATCTAGAATTGAGTATAAGATGTCAGTTTACTGTTCAAAACGTGTGGCATTATATTAACATCTTACATTGCATAGGATTTCTAGTCATTGAGATTTCTAGTTACATCTGACATTACAATAAGGGAAAACATAAGACAGTGAATCTGATGTCACAACAATGTTTAGGATAATCAATGTATCAATCTCTAACATAAAGCACTATCTTATTTTACAGTCAAAGACTGAAAAAACTACAGAAAAAGAAGCTGAAAGTCCAACAACTACTACAACAGCAAAGCCGGACACTACTGTAAGGAAAACAAATTTATTAATTAATAATATTAATGAATGATTCGTTATTTAAAGACGCATTTTGCTTTTTTTCTCAATTTTCATCCCAACAATGTTTGGTATTATTCCGTACTATTAAGAGTTTTGGAATCAGAAAACATCCAGATCGTAATTGCTTAACGTATGACATTTTAATGTTGTAGGTTGAATCAAAACCATCGACTGAGGTCTCCACATCTTCATCTACGACTGAAGTGCAAAAGGTAAGATATTTTTTTAAACTGAAAAGTATACTTTGTGTGTTACAAATAAGAAAATTAACTACATAAACCACTGACTTTTTTCTCGTGAAAGCAAAACGCTTGAAAGATTTCTATTGACGAATGCTTTAAAATATGTTTGATTTATTGACGTTATTTAATGTTATAAAAATCTATTTAATTTTAAAACATAGCTACAGTTTTTTATTCTATACTAAATAGCAGCTATTTAACGATTTTAATATTTCAGATCCATTTTATTAACTATAAAAAAAATAAAAAAATAATTTGAAGGACTAATTTTACACTTACGTATTCATTATAATAAAATACTAACTGTCCAATACGACGACAAGATGATGTCCGATTCGATTGTAAATGGGAATGTTGTGCATCTTTGTAGAAGCATTACTGATTTAATCTCATTTTCCAGGAAACAGATGTAACAGTATTCCCTGAATCTGCCAATCTCATTTTAGTGTGTATTTTAATACTACCATAGACAAATAGAATAAATAATTGTCTATGATACTTCTTTGTAATTGGCACATGTTGAGCAGCATTACCAACAAATTAATTACACATTATAAAGCAACATCGAAACCCCACATGTGGAACTGTTTCAAAATGAGGTGATAAAGTGAAAGGGGTTCACCACTGACCAAAAATACGCAAGAGTATTAAGTTATCATCTATTATTACAAATCTGATACGTTGTATTTTCTCGTAAAAGTAATAAACAAGTTACGATTTTTTTCCAGGAAGCAGATGTTAACGTAGTGCCTGCGTCAACGACTACAACTTTCAAACCAGAAACTGTTGTAAGTTGAATGAATTTAGTTATAAAAATTGTAGTATCGAACTCAGTTCTGATCTAATAATTAAGATTTTGACGAATAAGTGTCCATTGTTAGAAACAATTTAGCGTAGAGGGTGGATTAAAGTCCCAGGACAATAAAATATTTTTAATAATTACTAAAGATAGAGATTCAAAACTTGGTACACAGTTACTGGCACTAAGACCATTTTAACACATTATTCAGCGATACGCTACCTCTTTAGAGGGGCGGCCCGTTTTGAGTCAGAAGAAAATCTTCCATGTAAGGATAGGTTGATATAGCACATCAGATTAAAGGTATTATTAGAATACAATGCCGTAAATTTGAGGTCAAAAGAACATGTGGGTAAAAAATGGCAACCATTTTAAGAAAAAAAAAGAAAAAAAAACAGCAGAATCCAGAAATCTTTTAACGAATACCATTTCTGGTTGTGTTTAAATTTGTGGCAATGTATTTTACTATTGAATGCCTTCGATTTGATGTACATAGCAACTTATGCTTAGGTTTAAGATTTAGTGGTGGCGTATCCCTGAATAATATGTTAAAATTATTTTATAGCTCAGTAACTTTGTCTCAATATCTGTATTACTTTTTTAAAGAATTGACTGTCCCGGGACTTTTTCCCACCCTGTATTTGTCATTCTCATAGGATACGCATCAACATCCAGGCTACTTTACCCATAAAATACTCAATCGTTAATTTAATTAAAAAAATATTATCTGTACCTGATCAATAAGAGTCCATAAATAAGAAATGCCTTAACCTTCTACGCGAGGAGTGTAAAGTAGCATACTTATACTATCACTGTGTTTATTTGGTTTAATTTCTATAACTTTTAGGTTGAATCAAAATCATCGACCGAAACTGCATCAAAGTCCTCATCCACTGAATTGTCCTCTTCTACTGAAGAGAAAAAGGTAGGTCGAATGAAAGCGTGATTTTGTAGGAAGATTCTATGATACGATATTGATGGGTAGGCATTACAAGAATTAAATTGAACCAGCAGTGTTTAACGAAGAATATAAATTTATGGTTTGAATCAAATCAAGTCATGGTATGCGTAATAAAAAAGTAAAAACAAGTATTAAGATTTAGGTTAAATTTATCCTACCTGTCAAATATTCTTTACATTAAAAACACTAAATTAACGTAAGAAACCATAAGTGTCAATTTACATTTAAACTTGTATTAAAAATGAGAAAAACCCGTGTTAATTCGGTTTTCCTAAAGCATCAATTCAAATTATCCGATTTTAAATTAGTACCATGATTGAGTTACAGTAAATATTTCCAGTAAATCTTAAAAAAGTCACCATAATTTCACTGTAATTCAAGGCATGTTTAGCAATTTTTATGTAATTAATAGTTATACTTTGTAGTGTTATAACATTTTGTTAATGATAAATACTACTGGTTGTATTCGTAATAAATAGTGTTATTATGAAGATAGTTCTATATTTCAATCGGACAGTATTAAATAACACTAGTAATATGGTACCAATGTTGAAATTTACTATAAATTACATAATTAACCTTAAGTATTATGATCGATGGCTCCAGTTACCTGATAATTCTATTTCAAACTAAAATCTCAGGTTTGTATTTTATTCTCAGTACCTTTTTAAATTGTAACACATTAAACACCTATACATTATGATGAAACAATAATGTCACGCAGGCCAAGCTAAGTAACACAAGGGTGTAATTAGTAACTATAAAATCGACATTCTAAACTAATAGATATTCTATAACGTTTGACAAAGTCGTAAATGAGATACGATGCTTTTCTTTTAAAAGAGTCACACATATTTCTCTATTTCCAGGAAACAGTTGTAAAAGTAGTGCCTGCTCCCACGACTACAGCTGCTAAACCAGAAACTGTTGTAAGTGGTCTATTTAGTTTTTTTCTTTTAGATTCAGTTATATTCTACAATTTAAGAATCATTTCATCGTCTTAATTAAGAATTGTTGAATATCTTTGCTTGTTCCTAATCACAAAAACCTTTGTGTGATATTGGTGTGACCTTCAAATTAAAATTAGCGTATAAAGCGACAATATTTCAAATTTAAAGAGTGTGTGTCAACGTGAGTGTGATGGAGGGGTCATTATTACCTAAAGAACTTTCATTCACGTTAATTGTTTATTTTAGAATATGTAATATTTTTAATCATTTTATATTACATTTTCAAACTATCCTTTAACCGAGTAAAAAAGAATTCAGAAACATAAAAGCAAAGGAAAATGAATGTAAAAATTTGAATGTAAAAATTTATCAGATACGGCTAAGCAAAAGATTCTTTAGTAATAAACACATTTATTTATTATATGATTTCGTCTATTAAAATCAAAATCTTGGTTAAAAAACCCTCATTATATTCTATTCATAGTTGATGCGATCTGTAAGATATTAGGCTATAGTTTACATTGTGTTTATTTTTCAGTTTCATTTCAATTGGTTTATTGAAGAAAATACGGTATCTGATACCAGCACATTCTGTTATGGGTCATCTGACTTACATTCATTCTTATTAGATACTGGAAACAATGTAATATAGGAAATTAATGCCTAATCGTATTCTAAATCGAAGCTATAATTCAAACAAGTTTTGTAATTAAATCATTTAAATTTTAGCTTTGAATAATATTTTACAACCTTACAGGTTGAATCAAAACCATCGACTGATACTGAAACTTCTACTACTGAATTAAAGAAGGTACGTTTTAATCAATCACGAATTTGCACGGAGAAGAATAAAAATAGAGAAATCAATGAGTCAGTACTATATTATTCTTCGAACAGAGACATGATGCAACAAATAAGATCTTCTTGAAACCTTGTAACCGTTTACGTAACAAAATGAAATCCTCACGGAATAAAGACATTCGTACATCGTTTTACAGCGTGTACACTAATATTATTCCTTCTATAAACTGAATTTGCACAGGATCTTTCATATCTTAAATTCCAAGATTTAATTTTACTGGAAAGAAAAACTATTTTAACAAAATTGTAATAATCAATCAAAATATTACGAGTCTTGCATGAGTGACACATCCAAGCTAAAGGGACAGAAAAGGTGTAATTTAAAACTCCGTATTCAATCATTCAATGTAATGAACAAGATCTATATTGTGTGGTTTAGTTGTAAAATCGTTGTATTTACTTTTAACACAAATTATGTTACATTTTCAGGAAACGGATGTAAGAGTAGTATCTGAGTCGACGACTACAACTGCCAAACCAGAAACCGTTGTACGTAATATTTAGACTAAAATCTTTCTTTTGTAATTATAATTCTGTAACGCACGCGGAAGAATGTAATTGTTGGTTTGAACAAATCTTTGCACATACTATTCATATAATAGGACCTACCATGGATTTATGTTTCTAAATGGTTATATTGCCTACATAAGTAGATCTATTATAAAGTTACCTTCTGTTACTATTATTAAAGTATGAAGTTTCGAATACTACTATAAATTATAATTAATTTACTTATCAATAATTCATTCAATACCAAAGACTCAGTAAAACACACTAAAATATAATAGTGAACTGGAGACCTAGTTAATTTTGAAATATATATCGTGAAATTTTCTTCTGAAATAAATTTATTGATTTAGGAGAGTAAAACAACCGAAGAAAAAAAGAACAAAGTAATGTTGAAAGCTACTTATCAGTCAGTAAGTATTATTATTTATTGTATAACCATTATTTTTAACATACTAAACAAAAGAACTAAATAATAATGAATTTAAATCTATGTTTATTTACAGAATAGTTTTAATTTAAAATATTTTACTTTGCTTCTTTACATATTTTGCGCATGTCTTACGTTAAATCGCTTAATATTGAACATTGACCGTACAAATAATCCGAAATGGAAAATTATCAAAACTGTTCGAATTACTAACAGTTTTAAATCATTTAAATAAACTCAATATCACTGAGGTGGTGGGTAGATCGAGTGTATCCCATTTATTTGAATGGGAAACATTAATTTTACAGAAAAAAATCTAAACCTTGATCTGACAAAGAAATCTGTTAACTGATCACTGAAAAACTTGTATGAAAAAAGAGAATCTAATTTTCAAACTTATGCTTGTGATAATATTACAAAGTGCCATAAAATGAATGTCCGGTTTTAAAGGCCCATTTATGGAATACAGATCATAACATTAATTTGATTGAAAGTTGCCTTATACATGTGAGACACTCCGAGAGATCAATTTTGATGTTTAGTAAGTTGTTCACGTAAGTTTTCACTTTGATTGTTTTGTGTGAAACACGTCATCAAAAATTATTTACTGCAGAAAGTTTTGTTATTACTGTACTTTCAATAATGAAATTCTCAGATGTTGGTCCTTAGAATGCAATTCCGTGATAAGGGCATACATACAGGATGCCATAGAGGAAATACAGGATGTAAAATTGTACTGGTGATGTTATTTATGTAAATATAAATCTATGGATTTGACGCCTAAAACATTTTAATTTTAGTTAAGGACCTACGCAAGTGTTTTGACACTTCCTCAATTTTAGTTAAGGAAACGCCACACGTTTTCAAGTGATCAGTAATTAATCTAAATTTACCAAATTACCAATTCTAACCTACCTACTTAATGTTTTCCACAAATTGATTACATATGACATAACCTGCAATAAAATATACAAAAACACAATAAAAACAAAAAATAAAACAATTAATTGCTTTATACCAATCTAAAATCTCCAAACTAAAGTTAAGTCACAATACATTTGTGGACATTACAACTCGAAACAAACGTACAGCGTGTGATACTAATATATAAATAATATGAAGCATTACAAAATATTAAAATTCATTATGACGATGGTTCTAAAATGATACTATTAAATTCGACTTTTTTCAACGTGTATTGTGTTTAAAACTACACACCGTTTAAAACACGTTACGTATGTTAGGTTATATATCGTAGCTAGGTGGATTTTCACATGGCAACAGGAGTTTCTTGAATGACCTCCGGAAACACTTTGCATACGTTTAGTTCTGGAAACAAAAACTACTTCAATAGATAATTATCCTTTGCAATAACGAACTTTACAAACACACTAAAGCATTTCTATGTTACAGTCAACATCTGAAAAATCTACAGAAAAGGCCGCAGATAGTCCAACAACCACCACAACATCCACGCCAGAGACTATTGTGAGTTAGCAAAACATTTATTTACTGGAAAATGTCTTTTAGTAGTAGTTTACGCAACGATTGCGTAAAGATGGTGTTAAAGACACGAGTAGAACATTTTAGATACAAGCCTTGGCAAAAGCCTTCAAAAACTTATACGAGTGTCGTTAACACTATTTGCGCGAGTTGCGTTCACTACTACAGTGTTTTCATTACTAAAAGTCACTACTCATAACATGTAAGCGTGATTATGTTTAGTGATGCAATGAAACGTTGTACCAAACACTAATGGCACCACTCAACAATTAAATTGGCCTGATCAGCTGATAAGTTAACGTTCGAATAATTACAATTTTACTTCTCTCTCAATAATTGAACGTCATTGGTCCGTTAGCCGTGCTGTTATGAATAAAATCAAGCTGTTATGTAAAACCTTTCAACCTCAAGAACTTAACTGAAACGGCAATTAAAAATAATCTTTTTTCTACAAATCTATTTAGCAAGTCGTTTTAAAATGTGTATGTCTATACTGTCTACTATTATGATTACTACCTTAGAATGGTGAATAAATGACAAATGTTTTCACAGTATATTTTTATAACGTTACAGGTCGAATCAAAGTCATCGACTGAGGATACGTCCAAATCTTCTTCTACTACTGAGGTGAAAGAGGTGAGTGCCTTTTATTCCTCACTGTCAATCATAAAGATAACGAAAAATGTATTATGATTGAAACTCTACAAAATTAGAACGATTAAATCAAATTATATGTTCAGTGATAGCAACAATACATTTATTGTGTACGAACACATAAAATTATTAAGACCATGCAAAGTAAAACCTTTCGTGCATACTTAATGATACACAAGAAAACATCTGGTTACTACAAGACCAAAGGACTTTTCTACTTCAACTTGGAAAGTTTAGGGCTAAGCCTCTTGGCAATAATGTCATAATCTCATGAAAATTAATTATATGTTAGGAAATCGTAAGTTATTCCATTTGCTGCATTGCTTGAGTTTCTTTTTTTGTCCTACACACGCCTTGCGTGGCCTATATGGAACTAGTTTCCTTATTGTTTATTAAAATTGTATAACACTGTAAATGATCTAAAATAAAATGGATTTTAATTATCATTTTCTAGGATACTGAGGTTAAAGTAGTGCCTGCGTCCACAACTACATCTTCCAAACCGGAATCCGTTGTAAGTTAGTTATGCATTACTTGCAAATAAAAAAAACACTCCATTCAATTATTTTAAGTAATACGTAAAATGTATTCCTATTAAATTGAATATTTTATAAGAGTTAGACTGATGTTAATGCTGTTTACAAAAAACGTCTTATAACACTTAAAACATATATATACTTATAATGTTACTCAAAAGACGGCAAACCTTTCCAACTTTTAATAATGGTTACATTTGCATCACAAAATTGAATGCATATCCAAATAAACCAAAAAGTACCTAATCCTACGTACACCAATTTTGCGTGTTGTGTAACAGTAGATATATTTCAACTTTGTGACAAAAGTAATCTGAAATAGAGTAAATGTAATATAAAATATCGTCCACTTGAAATAAATGAGTGTAAAGTAATATTATTCTCAAAAATATCTTCAAAATGCTTTGCTGTCTTACTTTGGGTACCCAAGCAATTCCAAACACTTAAACACTAACTGTACAATTACGACGAATTCTTTTTAGGATACAGAAGTAAAAGTTGTACCAGTAATTACCAGAAGGGTAAAATCAGTGACAGTTGTAATTTTATATTAATTATAATAATATTATAGCATAGCTTTATTACTTGGGTCTTCATTTTTTTCCATAATTTAGAATGATCCATTTTCCAGCTTGTCATTGGTAGATTAAGGGTTTAGCTAAAAAAATATAAACTGCGTTGAAAGATATTAATAAATTAGACATACTTTCTTGACACAACATTTCAAGGTCTGTGTAATATTTAGGTGGAAGTGGAATCATCCTCCAAGACAAAATCCCAGTCCTCATCTTCTACTTATGAAAAAACTGAGGTTAGTATAAAAAATTAAAACTAAATATAACGATGTATTTTAACGATGTACTAATTTAAAATGGCTAAAATTCATCAATTAATTGTTAGTCGTCTTTGATACGGATACAATCAGAACATACACAATAAATATTCTCAACCTGAATTCTATGTAAATACATTTATTGTTTACATTATAATATTTTAATAAAATAAAAAACGTTTTTATGTTATAGGAAAGAACAGAAAAGACGACGGGAAAGGAATCTACAGCTCCAGTTACACCTAGTACAACTGCTTCTCCTGGATCGCCTGTAAGTGAAGTGAGAACAATTTGTATCCGTTAAAAATTTATAAACTATCAAAGATCTACACGTACAGAGACCTAGAATTGTTTTATAAGTGTGTAGCTAGGCGGACTGTAAGACCAGTGCGACAATATTCTAGGTTCGCGTATATTTATATTCAAAAATAACAGAGATTAACAGGGATTAATTAGCTCTACTTTCCCAAAGAAAGGATTATATTTATCATGCATGTATATAATTAATTAAATACATATAATTATAACTCAATACTATCCTAAGCTACAAAACAATTAACAGTGTAATGAAAGTAGCGTTCAATATATTGAAATCGTCCCCCAGTAATAACCTTTTTTCCAAACCAACGTGTTATTTTTAAAAGGCCACAAAATTAAAAAAATATGTTGGTGTGACCCAAAATTAAAAATTCTTGGCCTTCAAACAAATCTAAACACGCATGTGAACTATGTGTCACAAGCAACGATGTGGTATTTGAAAAATTATCAGTAGTACAACTTAATTCGATAGCAAAGTTACCTACGAGGTTTATCCGGTTGTTGGTTGATCAACTTGTAAAACGCACAATGTGATTTACCAACTGTCGTGTAAACATTGTCCAAAAGAATACGTTGGTCAGACTTCAAACTCTTCAAGAGTGTCGAGTATAAAAAATTGGAAGACATTTTGTTTACCTTTTCAGTAGTAAATAAGTTGAAATATGAAGTACTGTAATATTTCTATTACACTGTACTGTAATAAAAAAAACTACAGTACAATAAAAAAAGTACTGTAATATTACTCTATTATAATTCTAATAGAGACAATTACAATTTATAAAAGAGTTTATATTTTGTAAGTACTTTACAATGATACAAAAATGTTCTCTCGTAGAGGTTCAAAAGAAAAAGAATAGTATATTACGTTATTAGTCCTGAAAAAAGTGTTTACCGGACGAGTGTGGTACACACATTTTGGACGAGTTACGTACGATAGTTTACGCCATACTACTAAACTAAGGACTTAAAATCACTAGTCATAACCTGTAAGAGAAATTATGTTTTTGTTTATAACCATTCATGGCCACCTAAATACAGTATTATCAGCTGATTGGTAACCGGTAAAACTCATTGCTGTACAGTAGTACGCAATTAAACCTCATTTGAATAAGCTGGCGGCAAACAGCTGTTTTCTGGACTAAATCCTTGGGTGGGAAGTTCGTCAAAATAATTTAGTGTGGCGTAAAATCACTTTACGCCACACTACATTATTTTGAAGAACTTCCCACGCAAGGATTTAGTCCAGAAAACAGCTGTTTGCCGCCAGCTTATTCAAATGGGGTTTCATTGCGTACTACTGTGCTGCAATGAGTTTTGCCGGACACCAATCAGCTGATTATACTGTATTTAGGTGGCAGTGAGTGGTTATAAACAAAAACATAACCTCTTATGACTAGTGATTTTTAGTCCTTTAGTTGGTGGAAATATATAAGGATTTGTACGGATTTAGTAGTATGGCGTAAACTATCGTACGTAACTCGTCCAAAATGTGTGTACCGGACTCGTATGGTAATCCCGTACTCGACTTCGTCTCGTACGGGAACGACCACACTCGTCCGGTAAACACTTATTTTCAGGACTAGTAACGTAATATACTATTTTATTGTCGGATGAAAAAAGTTGGAATGTTGTAAAGTCCCCACTGAGGACGTTTACGACTAATCAACATATGCAGATGAACATTATTCCTTTAAATCCAATTAGCAAATGTTTACTTTAAGCAGTTTTACTGTAAAACTATTTAATATACTAGTAGTATAACACAAATTATTTGTTTACGGGATAGAGCCAAGTCCGTGGTAAAAGAAATTTAGCTTGGTTACACTGTAAGTCCCAACATCGCACATAACATCGGAGTTTAAATATTTTGCTGAAAGCTATAGTAATTTGTCTGCACAGTTTACTAGAAATAACGGTGAGATACAAAAACCCATAAATTTAAAATACAAAACATGAGACAAAGTTCAAACTTATTATTTATAATGTTTGTCGTAAAACATTTATAAGCTCGTAATAATCAATAGCATTTATGTAATTATTTTGATATACTGATTTTTTTTTTCAGGCAAAGCCGAAAGAAGTATTTTGTGAAAAGATGTATGATAGGCAAGATTTTGAAACTGATGAAGAGTACTATAAACGTATCCTCCACAGATACGAGTTGGAAGACATAAACCATTATGTAGAGAGGATAGAAAAAGTTGAAAAACTCAAACCGAACCTTCCAATCTGGAATAACAAAGGAGCTCTTGTTTATACCAAACAATATTACGATCAAAAACTCAAACCTAAACCAAGCGAAACTAAAGAAGAATACGAGTTAAGAGTGTTATCCAAGCCAAAGAACTACAACGACGAAGAATATAACAAAATGAAAGCGTTTGTGAGTGAATATTTTAATTCTGAAACTGCGTGTGAAAAAACATCGAATTTTGAATCTGAAAACAAGGAATCGCGGTCCTTGGAAGAAGATGAAAACGTAATCGTTATAAAAGAGTCCGCGAAAGAGGATTTAAGTAGTACAACTACAGAAAAGCCGGTCGAAGAAGTAACAACTACACCAGCCCCTACTACAACTACACCAGCCCCTACTACAACTACCACGACAACTGTCCAACCAGTAGATGAGACTGTAGTACAGGAGACAAAAACAGAGACAAAAACAGAGACAAAATCAATAGTAGAGGTAGAAGAACATCATGAGATAACACAGGTCGAAGAAGTAACAACTACAACAGCCCCAGCTACAACTACGCCAGCACCCACTACAACTACCACGACAACTGTTCAACCAGTAGTTGAGACTGTAGTACAGGAGACGAAAACAGAGACAAAATCAATAGTAGAGGTAGAAGAACATCATGAGATAAAACAGGTCGAAGAAGTAACAACTACACCAGCCCCAGCTACAACTACACCCGCCCCAGCTACAACTACACCAGCCCCAGCTACAACTACACCAGCCCCAGCTACAACTACCACGACAACTGTTCAACCAGTAGTTGAGGCTGTCGTAGAGGAGACTAAAACAGAGACAAAATCAGTAGTAGAGAAAGAAGAACATCATGAGATAACACAGGTCGAAGAAGTAAAAACTACACCAGCCCCAGCTACGACTACACCAGCACCTACTACAACTACCACGACAACTGTTCAACCAATTGAGGAAGTAGTAGTGCAAGAGACTAAAACAGAAGCAACAACTGTACAAGAAGATATATACATGGAGGAGAAGGAAAATGTCATTGTTATGAAAGAATCCATAAAATCAAGTATTGTTACCAGTACTACAGAAAAGCCGGTCGAAGAAGTGACGACAACTACCAAAACAACTGTTCAACCAGTAGTTGAGACGGTAGTTCAGGAGACAAAAACAGAGACAAAATCAGTAGTAGAGGTTGAAGAACATCATGAGATAACACAGGTCGAAGAAGTAAAAACTACACCAGCCCCAGCTACAACTACACCAGCCCCAGCTACAACTACGCCAGCCCCAGCTACAACTACCACGTCAACTGTTCAACCAGTAGTTGAGACTGTAGTAAAGGAGACTAAAACAGAGACAAAATCAGTAGTAGAGGAAGAAGAACATCATGAGATAAAACATGTCGAAGAAGTGGCAACTACACCAGCCCTTACTACAACTACACCAGCACCTACAACCACTACACCAGCACCTACAACAACTACACCAGCCCCTACAACAACTACACCAGCACCTACTACAACTGTTCAACCAGTAATTGAAACTGTAGTACAGGAGACTAAAACAGAGACAAAATCAGTAGTAGAGGAAGAAGAACACCATGAGATAAAACATGTCGAAGAGGTGGCAATTACACCAGCCCCAGCTACAACTACAACAGCACCTACTACAACTACAACGACAACTGTTCAACCAATTGAGGAGATAGTAGTGCATGAGACTAAAACAGAAGCAACGACTGTGCAAGAAGATAAATATATCGAAGAGGAGGAGGAAAATGTCATTGTTATGAAAGAATCCATAAGGTCCAGTATTGTTACCACTACTACAGAAAAGCCGGTCGAAGAAGTGTCGACAACGCCTGCACCTGCAACAACTACGAAAGCACCTACTACAACTGATCAACCAGTAGTTGAGACTGTAGTACAGGAGACAAAAACAGAGATAAAATCAGTAGTAGAGGAAGAAAAACATCATGAGGTAACAAAGGTCGAAGAAGTAACAATTACACCAGCCCCAGCTACAACAACGCCAGCACCTACTACAACTACGACAACTGTTCAACCAGTACTTGAGACTGTAGTTCAGGAGACAAAAACAGAGACAAAATCAGTAGTAGAGGTTGAAGAACATCATGAGATAACACAGGTCGAAGAAGTAAAAACTACACCAGCCCCAGCTACAACTACACCAGCCCCAGCTACAACTACGCCAGCCCCAGCTACAACTACCACGACAACTGTTCAACCAGTAGTTGAGACTGTAGTACAGGAGACAAAAACAGAGACAAAATCATTAGTAGAGAAACAAGAATATCATGATATAAAACAGGTCGAAGAAGTGGCAACTACACCAGCCCTTACTACAACTACACCAGCACCTACAACCACTACACCAGCACCTACAACAACTACACCAGCCCCTACAACAACTACACCAGCACCTACTACAACTGTTCAACCAGTAATTGAAACTGTAGTACAGGAGACTAAAACAGAGACAAAATCAGTAGTAGAGGAAGAAGAACACCATGAGATAAAACATGTCGAAGAGGTGGCAATTACACCAGCCCCAGCTACAACTACAACAGCACCTACTACAACTACAACGACAACTGTTCAACCAATTGAGGAGATAGTAGTGCATGAGACTAAAACAGAAGCAACGACTGTGCAAGAAGATAAATATATCGAAGAGGAGGAGGAAAATGTCATTGTTATGAAAGAATCCATAAGGTCCAGTATTGTTACCACTACTACAGAAAAGCCGGTCGAAGAAGTGTCGACAACGCCTGCACCTGCAACAACTACGAAAGCACCTACTACAACTGATCAACCAGTAGTTGAGACTGTAGTACAGGAGACAAAAACAGAGATAAAATCAGTAGTAGAGGAAGAAAAACATCATGAGGTAACAAAGGTCGAAGAAGTAACAATTACACCAGCCCCAGCTACAACAACGCCAGCACCTACTACAACTACGACAACTGTTCAACCAGTACTTGAGACTGTAGTTCAGGAGACAAAAACAGAGACAAAATCAGTAGTAGAGGTTGAAGAACATCATGAGATAACACAGGTCGAAGAAGTAAAAACTACACCAGCCCCAGCTACAACTACACCAGCCCCAGCTACAACTACGCCAGCCCCAGCTACAACTACCACGACAACTGTTCAACCAGTAGTTGAGACTGTAGTACAGGAGACAAAAACAGAGACAAAATCATTAGTAGAGAAACAAGAATATCATGATATAAAACAGGTCGAAGAAGTGGCAACTACACCAGCCCCTACTACAACTACACCAGCCCCTACTACAACTACACCAGCACCTACAACAACTACACCAGCACCTACAACAACTACACCAGCACCTACAACAACTACACCAGCCCCTACAACAACTACACCAGCACCTACTACAACTGTTCAACCAGTAGTTGAGACTGTAGTACAGGAGACTAAAACGGAGACAAAATCAGTAGTAGAGGTTGAAGAACATCATGAGATAACACAGGTCGAAGAAGTAAAAACTACATCAGCCCCAGCTACAACTACACCAGCCCCAGCTACAACTACGCCAGCCCCAGCTACAACTACGCCAGCCCCAGCTACAACTACCACGACAACTGTTCAACCAGTAGTTGAGACTGTAGTACAGGAGACAAAAACAGAGACAAAATCATTAGTAGGGGAACAAGAATATCATGAGATAAAACAGGTCGAAGAAGTGGCAACTACACCAGCCCCTACTACAACTACACCAGCACCTACTACGACTGTTCAACCAGTAATTGAAACTGTAGTACAGGAGACTAAAACAGAGACAAAGTCAGTAGTAGAGGAAGAAGAACACCATGAGATAAAACATGTCGAAGAGGTGGCAATTACACCAGCCCCAGCTACAACTACAACAGCACCTACTACAACTACATCGACAACTGTTCAACCAATTGAAGAGATAGTAGTGCAAGAGACTAGAACAGAAGCAACAACTGTGCAAGAAGATAAATACATCGAAGAGGAGGAGGAAAATGTCATTGTTATGAAAGAATCCATAAGGTCCAGTATTGTTACCACTACTACAGAAAAGCCGGTCGAAGAAGTGACGACAACGCCTGCACCTGCAACAACTACGCAAGCACCTACTACAACTGATCAACCAGTAGTTGAGACTGTAGTACAGGAGACAAAAACAGAGACAAAATCAGTAGTAGAGGAAGAAAAACATCATGAGGTAACAAAGGTCGAAGAAGTAACAATTACACCAGCCCCAGCTACAACTACGCAAGCTCCTACGACAACTACCACGACAACTGTTCAACCAGTAGTTGAGACTGTAGTTCAGGAGACAAAAACAGAGACAAAATCAGTAGTAGAGGTTGAAGAACATCATGAGATAACACAGGTCGAAGAAGTTAAAACTACACCAGCCCCGGCTACAACTACACCAGCCCCAGCTACAACTACACCAGCCCCAGCTACAACTACACCAGCCCCAGCTACAACTACGCCAGCCCCAGCTACAACTACCACGACAACTGTTCAACCAGTAGTTGAGACTGTAGTACAGGAGACTAAAACAGAGACAAAATCAGTATTAGAGGAAGAAGAACATCATGAGATAACACAGGTCGAAGAAGTGGCAACTACACCAGCATCTACAACAACTACTCCAGCCCCTACAACAACTACACCAGCACCTACTACAACTGTTCAACCAGTGGTTGAGACTGTAGTACAGGAGACAAAAACAGAGACAAAATCATTAGTAGAGGAAAAAGAATATCATGAGATAAAACAGGTCGAAGAAGTGGCAACTACACAAGCCCCTACTACAACTACACCAGCACCTACAACAACTACACCAGCACCTACAACAACTACACCAGCACCTACAACAACTACACCAGCCCCTACAACAACTACACCAGCACCTACTACAACTGTTCAACCAGTAGTTGAGACTGTAGTACAGGAGACTAAAACAGAGACAAAATCAGTAGTAGAGGTTGAAGAACATCATGAGGTAACACAGGTCGAAGAAGTAACAACTACACCAGCCCCAGCTTCAACTACGCCAGCCCCAGCTACAACTACGCCAGCCCCAAGTACAACTACGCCAGCCCCAGCTACAACTACCACGACAACTGTTCAACCAGTAGTTGAGACTGTAGTACAGGAGACTAAAACAGAGACAAAATCAGTAGTAGAGGAAGAAGAACATCATGAGATAACACAGGTCGAAGAAGTTAAAACTACACCAGCCCCGGCTACAACTACACCAGCCCCAGCTACAACTACACCAGCCCCAGCTACAACTACACCAGCCCCAGCTACAACTACGCCAGCCCCAGCTACAACTACCACGACAACTGTTCAACCAGTAGTTGAGACTGTAGTACAGGAGACTAAAACAGAGACAAAATCAGTATTAGAGGAAGAAGAACATCATGAGATAACACAGGTCGAAGAAGTGGCAACTACACCAGCATCTACAACAACTTCTCCAGCCCCTACAACAACTACACCAGCACCTACTACAACTGTTCACCCAGTGGTTGAGACTGTAGTACAGGAGACAAAAACAGAGACAAAATCATTAGTAGAGGAACAAGAATATCATGAGATAAAACAGGTCGAAGAAGTGGCAACTACACCAGCCCCTACTACAACTACACCAGCACCTACAACAACTACACCAGCACCTACAACAACTACACCAGCCCCTACAACAACTACACCAGCACCTACTACAACTGTTCAACCAGTAATTGAAACTGTAGTACAGGAGACTAAAACAGAGACAAAATCAGTAGCAGGGGAAGAAGAACACCATGAGATAAAACATGTCGAAGACGTGGCAATTACACCAGCCCCAGCTACAACTACAACAGCACCTACTACAACTACAACGACAACTGTTCAACCAATTGAAGAGATAGTAGTGCAAGAGACTAAAACAGAAGCAACAACTGTGCAAGAAGATAAATACATCGAAGAGGAGGAGGAAAATGTCATTGTTATGAAAGAATCCATAAGGTCCAGTATTGTTACCACTACTACAGAAAAGCCGGTCGAAGAAGTGACGACAACGCCTGCACCTGTAACAACTACGCAAGCACCTACTACAACTGATCAACCAGTAGTTGAGACTGTAGTACAGGAGACAAAAACAGAGACAAAATCAGTAGTAGAGGAAGAAAAACATCATGAGGTAACAAAGGTCGAAGAAGTAACAATTACACCAGCCCCAGCTACAACTACGCAAGCTCCTACGACAACTACCACGACAACTGTTCAACCAGTAGTTGAGACTGTAGTACAGGAGACTAAAACAGAGACAAAATCAGTAGTAGAGGAAGAAGAACATCATGAGATAACACAAGTCGAAGAAGTAAAAACTACACCAGCCCCAGCTACAACTACGCCAGCCCCAGCTACAACTACGCCAGCCCCAGCCCCAGCTACAACTACCACGACAACTGTTCAACCAGTAGTTGAGACTGTAGTACAGGAGACTAAAACAGAGACAAAATCAGTATTAGAGGAAGAAGAACATCATGAGATAAAACAGGTCGAAGAAGTAACTACAACTGCGACTCCTGAAGATGAAATGGAAGTTGAGGTAGTTGCAATCGTAGCGTCTGAAAAGGAGTCGAAGATATTTGAAGAGGAAGAATATGTAGAAACGAAGGAACAAAATGAGGGATCTCTCCTAACAACCACCACTATTCCAACGGTTATCGTAGGCGAAAAAACAGTTAAAGAAGGAAAACGCGGCTTAGAAGAATTTGAAAAGGAGGAAGAAATAGTAAAGAAAGAATCGGTCACAACAACAACGGCTCAACCTGAAATAATTAAAACAATTAACAGTAAACAGGAAAGCCGGTCCGAAACAAAGTCAAAACATGAAGAAGAATCTACTGAAACCACGCAAACCGGTAATACTCCTAAAGATATAACACCAACCAAGACACCAGTTGAGGACGAAGAGGTATGTAATTATATTATAGTTATTTTTATGTTCTTTAGTGACTTGTTTAATATATTTACAACAGTTTTTAAGAAGTATAAGACAAAACTAATTTGTGTTGATTTATCTGAACAGTTTTTTCACTCTTTTACAGGCATCACATTAAATGTTGACTTCTACAGTGGTTATTAAATGAAGAAACTGTTATGAATATTGTTCTGTACCGTAATCCCTGGGCGATTTGGATTGAAAAGATTTCGCATGTTACAGTCCTCTATTATCACTGCCTTCTTGGTCTGTATTTTCGGTTTATAGGGCTTGTCATGGCCTAAAGTTTTACAACACAAGTCCAATTTTACAAAAAATATCAAAAAATTAAATTTTCCTCCATAAAACCCCCCTTCCCCCGTTCCCATAGGCCAAACACGATGGTTTGTGAACTCGTTAGAATAAATGTAGGTTTACAAATTTGTACCAAATTTCGTCAAAATAAGATAATTTTTGCTCAAGTTATCTTAGTACTACTAATTGGCACATACATATACATATGATGTGAACGGATGGTGTTATAAGCATCTGGGGACATAAAAACGTAATAGTATGTCGGTCCCGGTTATATTTCTTACCATGAGACCTACGGTAATATCTTATTCCCTATATGGAAAAGTCGCTAAAAGTAAATGCACAGATATAAGGTCATTCTTTATTTTGTGTATTGTATTGTATAAACCACAGAATGTTTCCTAAAAGTGCCAGTTTTTTTTTTTTTTTTTTAGGTGAGGCAACCTGGAGAAACCCTCGAAGAGTTTTACAAAAGAGTCTATACAAAGAAACCAGGAGAAACCGATGAAGACTACAAACAGCGAGTGTATAAGAAAAGAACTGGGGAAACCGACGAAGAATACCTTACTAGAATCAAAGTACTAAAGAAAATATTTATTTCAAGTAGTGTTTGGACACAGGAAACAACTCTTACAGTGACAAAACTGTATTACCAGCTACAGTACAAACAACAGCCGAATGAAGATAAAGAATCATACTATGATAGAATAACCAAACAACTTCCAGGTGAAACTGATAAAGACTACGTAAAAAGGATGGATTTGATAAAACAAGCATTTTCCGGTCTACCCTTATGGTATGAAGAACAGTATTTGAAATATACGAAGAAGTATTACACCTCGAAATTCACAAAGCAGGTTTCTGAGACTGAGACCGAGTACTACGCGAGACTTTTGAAGCAAGACGCAGAGGAATCTAAAGAAAATTATGTGAAAAGAATTACTATTTTGTCTAAACTGTTCCCTAAATTAGAGTTGTGGCAGAATCCGGAACAGTTAAAGTTCACACGGGCTTATTACGAGGACATAAACAAACGAAAATTAGGTGAAACCGTAGATAAATGGTACAACAGAATCATGTTCCAAGGGTTTGACGAATCTCCAGAACAGTACGTCAAAAGAATATCACTAATTCAAGCTCTTTTCCCGGAATTAGATCTTTGGACTAATCCTAAATACTTGATATACACGGCTAAATATTACCAACTGCTGTTTAAGAGATTGCCTGGAGAGAGTGATACGGACTACTACACGAGGCTTTTCAAACGCAAGCCAGGTGAATCAGACGATGACTTTATCAGGAGAATCAAACTTATTCAGATTCTTAAGAAACGTGACTTAGGGTTCCTATTCAACAACGTCGACTACCTGACGTACACTAAAGATTATTACACCACTTTGTTGGGACAAAAACCTAAAGAATCATACCAAAAATACTTGACTAGAGTATTTAAACAAGATCGAAAAGAGGGTAATGTCGAATTTGTTAATAAATTGAAAGTGCTGAATAAACTTTATCCAGATCTACCAGTTTGGAATAATCCGAAGGAAGTGAGATACACAAGACGTTACTACATGGATGTCTACAAACGCAATAAGGGTGAGAGTGATGACGATTACTACAGAAGACTAATGTTCCAACCATTGACAGAAAGTGACGAAGATTACGTAAAGCGGATACAGGTAGTCCAAGCAGTATATCCCAAGCTAGATCTGTGGACCAGTACTCGCTATTTGATGTACACAGCAAAATACTTTACGTTCCTTAACCAAAAGAAGGATGGCGAGGACGAAAAAGCATTCCATTCAAGATTGTTTAAGAAAGAACGAGGAGAAAACAACGATGACTACACAAAGAAGATAGATATCCTTCACAAAGTATTCTACGCAGACATTGACAGTTTCTTCGACAATCCCGAGTATTTGAACTACACCAAAGATTACTACACGATCAAATACGGACAAAAACCTGGCGAGAGCCTTGATGAATACGTCAAGAGAACATTTACACAAGACGGAGAAGAAAGTGACTTTGAGTATGTAAATAGAGTAAAGGTTGTGAAAGCATTGTTTCCCGACTTAGAGATCTGGAATGACAAAGACAAGCTTGACGCGACTAGACACTTTTATGAAATCTTCTACGAACAACAACCAGAGGAGTCTGAGGACCAGCACTATAAGAAAATATTTGCAAAGGGAAAAGAAACCGACGATATGTACAAAGATAGAATAGACATGTACAACACAGTATACCCTAACATTCCCATCTGGGATAATCCAGATTACCTAGTCTACACAAAGAAATACTACGAAACGGTTTATAAAAGACAAGCGAAACAAAGTAATGATGAATATTACAAACAAATATTCGACAGGAAACCAGATGAATCTGACGAAAAGTACTTGAACAGAATCACGAACTTCTATTTAGTAGATCAAGACAATCCGGTCTGGCACGATACAAAGTATCTAAAGTTCACTAAGCCCTACTTCACCCTACTTTTCGCACAGAAACCTGATGAATCAGTGACTGCGTGGGCGAACAGATTGATGAAGCAGTATCCGGAAGAGAGCGACCAAGACTACAAGGACAGAATGGCTATAATACAACAAGTCGTCAGTAAAGAGGTTTGGGACAAGATTCAAGCGATATTGAAATCTGAAAATGGAAAAGCTGTCGGCGATACTGGAGTCACGTATATCGACGATGAGGTAAGACGATAGAAAATATCAGTACTGTATCAAGAAATGTATTTTATTCTAATTCTCTAGATACAAACATAAGACAAATCAGTTGAAATAAAAGACATCTACATGATATCTCCAATAAGGTTTTTACGACCAAACATTAACATTGTTAAAAAACTTTGATTTTTCATTTCAAACTAAAAACAATCACACTAAAAATTTTGAAAAAGTAAAAAAAAAGTGTTTCACAAATCTACTACACATTTAATAAAAAAAGATTTTATGACATACCTTAAACTAGTGCAGGATTCCAAAGTGGGTGTGATAGTTGCCAACAACCTCCTTTAAGTGAGTTTTATATTCAAAATAGTTTGTCATTATGTAATCAGGAAGACCTGACGCCGAAATAAGTTAAACATGTTTCAGTTCCATATATTATGAACTGGTGGATCCACTTTTATTCAATACAGCTGATTTTATTCTGCAGGTAAAATCTGAAGAGGACAAAAATGAGCTGGTTAAGAAAGTCCTGACAAAGCGCGTCTACGAGAGTTACCCAGAGTACATGGCTCGTATCCTGGAGCCGGACTCCAACGAGGCTTCAGACCATCGCAAGGAGAGACTCGACTGGATAAAGAAGAACCTCCCGACAGTGGCGCAGAGCGACTACTTCAACAAGTTCGTCGAGAGCAAGGACTACGCCAAGAAGGAGTTCCCTATCCTGGACAGTGAACGACACAATGCTGTGCACGACCTGGCGTCCAAGGGCAAACCTCTACAGGAGGCACCCGTGATAAGCAAAAGATCCAGAGTCATTCTAACATCCCAGGTGAGGGACAAAGGAGTAGTTGTAGACGATTTCCATAAGTAATGTGATATGACAATTGATTATTACTGGTACATACTTTAACAATCTAGTCATACCCCAATCCAGCTGATGCAATGCGATTTAAGTTAATTCCTGCAACGGGCACATTTAAAAATGTTCTATACCCAAAAAATAGAATTAGTTTTATAAAGAACCTAGTAGTAGAATCGTGGTCTTCTGCTGTAATTCGTGTCAAAATTGACGAATCACTAGTCCATTCAAAATTCAAGTCTACCATATGTGTTAATAGTAATACACTCACATTAGCCAAACTTGTATACAATAAAAAATATAACCTTGTAGAATTAAGTTATTCAAAACACATTTTGTATACGAATATTTTCACAGGCTCCTTGGGAAACCAAGAGGCAATATCTTGAAAAGGTCTACAAGAAGAAGGAGAACGAAGAAGATGACGACTACTACAAACGTGTCTTCGCCAGGAAGCCGCACGAGACGGACAGTGACTATGTGAAGAGGCTGGTGACGCTTCACAAGGTCTACCCGGACCTGGACGTGTGGCAGGATGAGAAGTACATGGACTACGTAGACCCGACACTGAGTCAGGGTCAGATACAGGAGGCCCAGAAGAACCACGCTAACGACGACAATGTCAGTATAAAATAAAACCTTATTGACCCTAGTATTACGAAGCATTGTGAGACCTTATCGATACCATTATAGATAACCTCTTTAGCCTAATGATTTTAGTCTTATTGTGTAGAGACCAAAGCCTCGTCGGGTAACAAAAGGATCCACTCCATTAATTTCAAAAATGTAGATGGTTGTGTTATATACTGCGCATTCTTGAACGATATCCGTTTTAATACGTTTAACCAGGAAATTATTTTAACTGCTTTTGACCCTGCACGATGTATACATTCTCTTTGACAAATTATTACTAACGGATAACTAGCTTTACTGAATAAGGTAGTTCGGTGGTAACGTCCTACATTGGTAAGCCAGATAACCTTTGTTTGGACAGGCCGCCTTAACTTCCTTATCCTCCCTATTGGCTTATCCATGTAGATTAAGCTGTAAAGGTACTTCAGAGTTACTAGATTACAGCAAAAATCAATGGTATATTGATCAACATTTGAAGTTTAAATAACTTAAAAATACAGGGTGTTTACATGTATAGTCAATCAACATTGACTATACATGTGAACACTCTGTATTTTTCAGTTATTTAAACCTCAAATGTTGATGAATATGCCATTGATTTTTGCAGTAATCTAGTGACTCTGAAGTACCTTTACAGCTTAATCTACATGGATAAAGCCTTAGCTACATGGATAAAAAACGTCCAAACGAGCATTTAGGTTGGCAGACCTGCTTCCTTTACTTAATTACAACTTCGCAGAAATACGGTTAATTGTTATTAGGATGTACTATGGGCCTAAATATAGTGCAATATTGTGCTTGCACAAGCTTAAAGATTACGTATTGTAGAAAAGAAATTAGGTTTTCGGGTTGAGATTCTAGTGTCTGATAAATTGGTGACGGGTTTAAAAATATAAAGGCGAATAAATACTTATTTCCCCCTTGAATTTTAGAGAAAATCATGTTGATTCTTATTCACCATAAATTCCCAATAACGTGTAGACAATGCAAAAATGCATGTCAGTTGATCAGCAATGAAGCAAATGAAGGCAAGGCTGATAACTTTGGGTTTATTTTGTCCCTAAACAGTGACAAGTACTTTTAATTTGTGTTGTGTTCAAAAACCAGTATTAACTTATTGTATTAGGATGTCTTTTTATGAAGTGCATAAACATACCTGTGACAATCATTAACTCGACTTGGTTATTATTTCAGGCTCTCGCTGGAGAAAATGAATCTTAATCTCAAGACTTAGAAGATAACAAACAAAGCTACATTATGTAATTATTTGTGTATTATAGATAGGTTTTATTTGGTGTTGGTAAAATTTATTAAAGCAGTATGTTAATTTTTGAAATTTGTGTTCTTTATTCTTTTTAGTTTGTATTTGTTAAACTAATGCACACTCCTTATATCACAAAAGAATCATTTGATTGTTCATGTGTTATAGCATAGTGTGTCACTTGCCTCATTCAAGGAAACGCACAAATTTGTGTTTTCATCGAATGTAGCCTTTGAAAAGATACATTATTTATTTAATTTAGAAAAAAATCAGGTCATTAGTAATTAATTATATTACTACGATACACAGTTTTACACTTTTTTTGGGGTGATTTAAATAGATACGTAGTGTTTCCCAGTAAAGGAAAATCACAGCACAGTGGTGTCATTTTGTCTTGGAAACTGTTATATTTCTTATTTAGAAAAAAATTAAAAGATCAAAAGAAACTACAATCAAGACACAAACACAAGAAAATATTATTAAATAAAGTTTTAAAAACATATGGTGTAATAATAATTAAATAACCATAGAGGTTGAACAGAAACTTAATTAAAATTTAAGCCCAAAACCTCTTGAGTGGTGTGTATATCACTATCTTCAAGAACAGGGCGGTATAGTTCAGCTAGTGAACACCTAGAATTCAACTATGTGACGATTAATTTAGTTCACTGTAGATTTTTGTCGATGGAACGTTGGTTCTTTAATAATCTATTGTTATATCATTTAATATATTCATATCAAAATTGATGTTTTTTTTAAAGGCATTATTGTGTTTCAAATGTGTCAAAGCATCATGTAATTTTTGTCTTTGGACTTTATTTTAATATTTGGTCTTATTCGAGTTTCAAAACGAATTGCTCTGTTGCTCGTCGAACATTAACTACGCTAAGTGTCTTCCGTAGATGAGGCAACATTTGAGTAATTTCAGATAAATATTGTAAAATATCTTTCGCATTGCTATTATGAAATATTTGTAGACACAAACGATACTACTAGCAACGTACATCTAGCTGAGATTTAACAATGAGTATATGCTCTACTGGCTTCATTTCTTGTAGCTGAGGTTAAAGATCTCAGTAAATTACAGTAATTTAGGCTAAATCACGCGGTTCTGATTTTAAAATAATATGTTTCTTACAAGAAGGCCTTGGACGGTGTTGTTACATGGTGTCGTTTTATTCTACAATAATATACATAATGAGGCTACTAACTTAATTTATTATACAGTATTAACAAGGTTTAGTTTAAAAAATTAAACTGAAAGAGAATTATTGTTATAAATACACGTAACAGTTAACTTGTGTTTCGTTTGTAATAAATAGTACATCATCTTTAAACTGAATTCGAATTACAAAAAATAAATAACATGATTTACATTTACAATAATCCTGCACGATATTTCCAGATGTACTGTATTTTAAAGTTACTAGCTGATGTTATGCCTTAGTTTTCGTGTCAAATACTGCTTCCATAAAGATAACAACAACTTTTAGATCCCTAGGGCGGATTTCTGTGAGAATATTTCAACGCCATGTGGCACGATGTGGTCTTTATTACCATGCAATATTTGAAAACAATTTCTTCAGCAGTCTACGAATTTGCATATGAAGCAATGCAAGAGTCGACGTATAAGAGCTTTGCTCAATGATTTAAAAATACACTTAAACGAAAATGTTTTAAAATAATTTATTTGGTTAGAGGTTGGAGATGAGTAAAATAACTATTTTAAATACGACATTGACTTTTTTAAATAGAGAAAAAAGGGAAAATAACATTAAGACGGACTAATCTCAAAGATATATTTAAGATAATAAATTGAAAATTACTAAAATCCTTGGTTATTATCACCTTAGTTGTAGGTAACACTTAACTAATTGTAAACAAAAGGCAGTAATTATAATGAAGTGTTACCACAGCTCTAAGGCGACGAGTGAATTGTTGATGAAAACACAATTAAGCTTTAGAAATGCAACAAAGGGTCACACAACAATAGCTTTATCTTTTCTCTAACTCTTGAATGGAACTTGAGAATATACAAATAGTTTTATTTCATGCAATTCAATGCTTAATGTGTATCAGTAAAAAAAAATCAACTTAAACTCGCCAGATTGAATTACTTTTATACGCAAAATATCAAAAAAGCTGAACCTGCTTATCTCCGGAACGAAAAGGGAAAATGAATTAAATAGTTGGACTGCTTGGATTGATAGACAACGATAAGACAAACATGAGAGTAAAAGAATATTTGTCTAAATGTCTTGGTATCCCAGCAAAGAGTATTTAAGTACTTAAGTTATTGTTTGATTACCTAATGTTATATGGGATGTCTAACTATGTATTTACAATGTTATGTTCAAATTATACCATATGTTAGTTAAAAAAAATAATGTATCATTTGTTAGGTTAAGGTAAACAAGATTAGCCATGTTTAAGTTTCAGTCTTGAGTTGTCACAGTAAATAAAATTCTAAACTTAAATGCTAAAGCTAGTAACTTGTTTAATATTTTCTAACTAAAACAAACTATACATTACATATATTTTAGATTGAAGGTGTTTTTAAAGGATTTGTTGACTTAATTAGGTTTTGATAATACCTGACATGATGAAGCTATTTTGGAGGAGGCCTACTTCTTAAATACGTATGCTAATTTTGTTTAGGTTTTATAAATTGTTGTTAAACATCTTTCAAACTATATTAAGAAGATATAGCCCTAACCTAAGAACCACGGTTTAATGAATAAATGTATCTTGCACACTAGCTAAATCAAGGAACATTCGTTTTTAAGTTAAATAATATTGAATAGGTCGGCATAGACGTAGGAAACATTTGTAGTTTTAGTAATATAAACAAGAAGTCAAGTACACACAACGACAAGTCAAAATATTTTTGCTTATAGTTCAATTTTTCGGATGATTAACAACATTTAATATCATATAACCAACTTGTGTAGTTGAAACAGCTGACAAAACACGTTACGCAAGAGCGTGTTTACATCACTTAGGTAAATTATGCAACTCGCTTCCGCTCGTTGCACAACATTCACCTGCGTGATGTAAAAACGCTCTTACTACACTTGTAAGGTAAATACCTATTATTCCTTTTAAATATGATTACTCATAAGGTTGAAATGGGAAACTCCAGAGCCACTGGGGTAGAGCCCAAAAGGACTTTTGAGATAAGAATGCGTCTATATGATAATCGGGAATGTGAGCTATCATCACACCAAATTTCAACCCGATCCGACCAGTATTTTTCGCGTTTACTTGTCACAAACATACATACATCCAAACTTTCTCATTTATAATATTAGTAGGATAATATTTTTAAATAAATGTTTTATGACCCTATATTACAAGTAAACTTGAGTCTAATACCATTTATCATAAACTGAAACAAAACTATTTCAATATAAATAATCCTATATAGAAAAATTGATATATTTCCACTAAAAAATAAACTATTAATAAGAAGTCATGGACGGACCAGTACATTTGATCAAAACTTCAATTCAGTAGTTGTAGATTGTTGAATATGCAAAGCTTAGGCTCTAGTTACAGAACTATAGGATGGGTTGTGAGTGTGTTGTTGGTCGACCCTTTGTTCTATTTCAGAACCATAATTGGATTTTCACGCAACAATTCTCCCAGCAACGAACTACAATGTCCTGAGTCAGAGAATTGAGTACGTTGGTTAAAACTAGCCTATTTTACATAATTTTAATTTTTTTTTTTATTTTAAAATTTTACATATTCATATGAGAGGTTTAAGACCACCGTAGTAATTAATTTTATTGTAACCTCAAAACGTAAACTATTGATGAAGTCCATACATAAACTTGTAATTCAAAATGTCTATTAAAAACTAAAATTCAATTCCTCATAATATAGGAGTCACTCTTATAATTTCAATGCTGCTAAGTCTTGTAGTCGTGCGATTGTGGGACTCGAAGACGATGAGTCAATCAAGCTTGGCAGCATTAATATTCATAAAATATTATAGAGCATAATATAAGAATCAAATAATTTTTTAAATACACTTTTAATAAGTTTGATATGTCTAAACATTAAACTAAAGATCATTCTAAATACTTTCAAGTCTCGGGTATCTCTTAAGCTCTTAAAAGAAATAGTAGGAACAGAGAGTAGAATCGCCTCAGTTGGGAAAGAGAAGTTTCTGACAGCTACAGATAACAGTGTCAGTTAGCAGAATTGTTTCAGCGCTCACTGATAAAGGAGGATAAACCTAAACTCGAGCTTACCTCTTCCAACGTAATAAAGGTTTCTAGGTCCAAAACGTTTTCTAGTTATGTTGGAAGTTAATGTAAATCTTGAAGCACACCAAATTAATTGTTATATAATTCATACTAGTTTTTTGAAAACATATATTTTAACCACTATTAAAGTCAGGCTAAATTTATAAGGTTTTACCTTGGTTGCTCTTCATAATCCGTTGCTAAAATGTTGATTTGTATATGATGTTACTGACCTAAAAAAACTGTATCAACAAACTGACACATACTGTTCGCATAGCTTGTAATCTAGTATTCAGTTTGACAGATGTTTCCATATATTCCATTCCATAACAAAGACATTTGTCATGCCTCATAGAATCGTAACATCTTACTGTAAATCTTGAAGCAAATCAAATTAATTATTATATAATACATACTAGTTTTCTGAAAACATTTAAAATATTTTTACTTCTATTTAAAAGGCAGAGTATTTATAAGGTTTTACCTTGGTCGTTTTTCATTTGTATGTGTTGTAATAAACTGATTTTAATATTAGGATAAAAGAAATATAAGACACTGTTAGAGAACCATTTTAATAGACTGGTAGTTGGTTTACACAACAAATTAAATAAACAAACATTATGATAATCAGAATTACATATACAGCTGTTACAGGACTGAGTAAATAATTTTTGAACTCAACACATTTTATTACTCTGGTAGTTAGTTTACACAACAAATTAAGCAAACAAGCATTACAATAATCAGAATTACATATCAAGCTGTTACAGGACTGAGTAAATCCCTTTTTTATCTCAATAGGATGTGACGTTATTGACTTTA